AATTAATCCATAAAGACCCATTATATGTGACTGATAGACCATTTTAGTGTGAAAGCAAAAATCCGTTTCTGTTAGACTGAATAGCTAAGCTATTATTAAATGTCATCTGCCAGAATTCCAAGGTAGCAGCGCTATACCACAGTGATTTTACAGCCTTGTGTTACGCCCAAGGTTTCTCCAGAATTTAAGGCTAGAGGGAAGCCATAGCAGCTGTTCTGTACGAACAACACCAAAGATTCTTCTAAAAGAATAAAACTGAACTTTTCAGGTTAATATTATTACCTGGGATGGAGCTTAATTTTTCTTTTTTTCCCTTATTCTGATTTAGTATCAGATCCTGTCATTACCATGTGTTCCTTTAGACAATACCTTTATTATTTTGGTTTATTTTTCAGTGAATGTCAGAGTGCTCTTCCAACATAAATAATACACGATCAAATTAGTATTTGTAGGTACTAGTTCCTGTTAAACCCATCAGAGTTTACAGGCAGGAAATAGAATTACGGTTCTCTTTATTGGTTTATGATCTTAAACTTCTTTTCCAGCCTGAACAATTCAGTGTTTCACAGTATCACAGTATCACAGTATGTTAGAGATTGGAAGGGACCTCAAAAGATCATCTAGTCCAATCCCCCTGCCGGAGCAGGAACACCTAGATAAGGTTACACAGGAAGGTGTCCAGGTGGGCTTTGAATGTCTCCAAAGAAGGAGATTCCACAACCTCCCTGGGCAGCCTGTTCCAGTGTTCCGTCACCCTCACTGAGAAGAAGTTTCTTCTCAGTTTAAGTGTTTAATGTCTGGCTTCTCTTTAATATTGCTTTAGATTAGATGCTTCTGCTTAGGGACTTAAAAATGGCTTTATTAAGCATTTGAAAGATTTCTGAATATAGGAGTTTGGTGACTGGGTTTCTGAGTCTGAGCATTTGTTTAGGAAATATATTTAATTATTTGAATAACTTTCTTCGTACTTTCTTCTGTGGTTAAAATAAGCCTGTATTTGGTAGATCCTTCTATCCTGTAGGTGAATCAGGTGAATGTGTTCACTCTCTGCTTTATCCAAGGCACAGTTAGGAGCCAGCTGAATTAGTTCCGGTGGTGGCAACTTGCTTCCAGTGCTTCTCACATCCTGGAGGATTATTATGAAATCCTCATGGTGGGTAGTTAGCACATGTACAATAATCTGATGGTTCTGGGAAGCAGCATTATTGCTGTGTACCTTTGTTCAGTGCCACTGCCTGTGTGTATGCAGAGCATGTATAATGCCTCCCAGCCACAGTGAATGCAGTGGAAGTAGCTGCTGTGATAGTGAATTGAAGAACAGATGACTGCAGAGCTCGTGGTTTGCCTACAGGGAGTTTTGAAATACATCTGGGCAGTAGTAAAGTGTAATTTTGGGATTGTCAATTTCAGGTTAGTGTTACTGTTTATACTGAGATACAAAATGATATTTTATATCCTGGACCATTGTGTAAAAGTACTTTTATGGATTTCTTCTTTGGCTGTCTTTAGCTGTAGCAGTGTAGGAAAGCATTGGTTTCTCAGAGCATAAGACATATTGAGAGCTTGTAAGACAGTGATTTTGGTCTACTTACTTTAAAACACCATCATTTTATTAAAAAAAAAAACGTGAATAAGACAAAAAAAATAATCTCATGTTTGTTCTTGAAATCTTAAATGGCTTTTTTTTTTTTTTTCTGGAGTTAAGCATCTCATTTACATTGTACTTTGTTCTCTAACAACGGCTTTGAGTTTCCATAGTGCTTCTGTCATGAACATACTAAACTGTCGGACAGGTTATTTTGAGGAGCTCTAGCTCTTCGAAGTATATGCAGTTAAACCTGTTACTTTGATTGATATATGGGAATAACAACTCTTGGTTTAAATTTGCTTTCATTTAAGATTTTAATGCTACTATTGAAGCTTAGCCTTCTGCCTGGAAGCCCAGAGGCAGACCTCTGAGGCAAGTTACCATTTTTAAGAACTCGTATTCGTAACAGTGAAGTGTCACAACATGCCAGACTTGAAATGGACTGTAAGGTTTAGTCTAAAATGTGATCACTTGCATCTTATTTCTGCAATGAAACACAGCAAGATTTTGTGAGATACAGGTTTGTCTCTCTTCTGGATAATGTTGAATAAAGTCAGTCAATGAGAGGAACTGCTATAAAGAATACACTATTTAAGATAGTTTTAAAATTGCATAGTTGGTAGATTGTTTTCCATAAAGTAATTGATTTTAAAATAGTCTGATAAAACATGTATGCAAGAAACACATTTTCCCCTAGCTGAATGCTCTCTGCCTAAACCAACCAAGTTTTGATGTTATGAGATCTGTGTTTCTTAATTTTCTTGTTCAGGACACAATATTACCTTTTATAGTTTAGCTCACTTAGATCAAAACATCACTCAAAATTCTTAAAATACTGTTACGTGATGAGGAAGCTGGGAAGAACCCTCGCCATAAAAAGTGTGTGTAAAGGGTAAATGCACATATTCAGGAATAAAAAAAAAAATCAACAGAAGGATATTTAGAAATGGTTGTTTCTAAGTCATTTGGTGAGCGGGCACCCTAGAATTCAAATTAATAGTTTCTGGTTTGTGCGGTGGGAATTTTTAAAAATAGAATTCTGAATGTGTTCTTTGGCAAGGTAACTTAATTATAGATTTTTATACATATCTACAAATAGTTGCATGACTTGTTACACCAGTGTGCTACCAGTCCAGTGGATAAGTACTTGAACTATCTGGGTATGATGAAGTTTGTGTAAATAAATGATTCATTTCCCACAGAGAAAGCAATGTGTCCCTTCTCATGAGCTCATATGCCTCAGATATCTTAAATATTAACTCTTATTTTTGTTTGGAATAATCACCAGTAAAAGAAATTCTGAGATTATTAGGGTTTTATCACTGTAGTCTCACTTATTCAGTGAAGAGTTACATAATTACATCATACTAAGTAATGAATAAGAGAAGGGGTAGCTTACACTCAAGGTTTGTGTGATTCTTCAAATACAGAGTGGTTCAAGCTGAGATACATCACTTTGAGCTGCTTCCATTATTCAACTTGTCAGCACATCAGTTAGTGCAACAGGAGAATTTTATCAGCTGTGTTGCTTGTAAAGAGAGAGAGGGAAAAAGAGGAGCCAGAATTCAGGTTTACAGTTTTTAAAGAAGCCTCCAATTTTCAGATGTGATTATGAAACATCCTTTGTAACTTTATGTGAAATGTCAGCTTCTGTGAGGTTGTCCATTTCATTGAGAATTGAAGGGTTACCTTGAGATTTTTTTAAATATACATTTATACACAAGTAGCCCAAGATTAGTGGAAATTGTGTTGTTCCTAGCCCGTCAGTGGAAAGAAGCATCCATTTCTCATAAGTTCATCATCAGCTTCTTGCAGCAGATGTGTTGTTTTCTGTGAGTACAATGTCATTCTCTGCTCTTTGCATATGCAGCTGTTTTAAAGAGATGCGAGATAACTATGCTGAGTTTATGAATTGAGAAAGTTATATTGTCAGATGGATGTTGTCTCCCAGGTTGCTTTCATTCAAATCTTACTTTGTCCATCTTTGTGCCAGCTCTTCACTGGAACCCTTCTTGTGAAAGACTTTTGTAAGAGGTGCTGTTATTTCTTGGTCTTGCAATAGAAGAATACAGGACTAGAGATCTTTACCACAAAAATTTCTGTCTGCAGGAAAAGGTATCTTACTTCTATCTGAAAGAGTAGGGCCTGAATTGCATGCACTGAATGTTCAGGACAGTAAAGCTTCATGTTATTACAGGTTTAGACTTGGTTCACAACTTCATTTTTATGAATAATTATTTCCTTGTTGTCATTTGCCAAGATTTGTGGGAAATACTTAGTAATCCAAGAAGGATTGGAGCACTGCTTTTATACAGTACTGCTTGTTTCAGTCTGGCAAGCAGTTTACACAAAATGCCTAAGTTTAGTATTATAGCTAGAAGATTAGCTGATCAGCAATCAGCTAATCAGACTTTATTAGAAAGTTCAGAATTGTTTTCATTGCTCTTGCTGTGTCTGGCTGGGCCACGAGGTAAATGCAAAATGTGGATTTTGGGTCTATTGTCAGTAGTTCATAAGAATGAGGAAATGTTTTGTGACAGCAATAGCTTACATCAGAACAGGTTTGAGACTTCTGACTGAAGGCGGTCATGCCAAACCCAACTAGAGCAGTGCTCAATTCCTTAGTTATTTGGTCTTCTTGTAATTATGTATTTCTGCTTGTCAGATTGGGAAGCACCTATAGTTATAAACATGTCGTACTACTCTGAAAGGTTACCTGGGTAAGCCCGTACTCTCCTCTGGTATTGCAGCTTCAACAGGATTGCTGCTGACAGTTCCCAAGTGCTCTGTTAGATCGTTTGATAATAGGTCAGTTCCTTCCTATTTAGAATACTGTGTTTACAGTTTCTGTTGAAAAGCAAACATAGGCTGGGTTATTTGGTGGACACCACTTATCTTCGATAGAGTCATTATGATGGAATTCAAAGAACATTATCATTGGTGAAACCTCAAGAAAAGACTCGTCCTTGACTTAGAATTTTGCTTTGATAGTGACAGCTGAAGCAGAAGAATTTGTAATATACTTAGTTGCCCTAATCATGCTCTTGAGTGGTGTAGACATGGCATATGGTCAGGAATGAGTATCTCCCTTCTGACTGTACGTTGCTGCAGTTCAGAGATTGGATGCTGCAAGTTCTGCCATACAGTTTATAAATTAATTTTCAATCTTGAAAATAAGTTAGTATTTTGTCTAGATCATCATTTGGCAGCAGAAAGTTGTTTTCTGGAAACAGGCATACACTGGTCTACACTGGATTCTATGGGCAAAGCCACTGACTGTTAATGAGCTCTGTCTGGCAAAAGCAAGAGGGAATAGAAAATACCTGTGTAAAAAGAACCAGGGGAAGAGGGGCAGACTGCTTTTAGATACATGCTTTCTAAGCATCAAACCCATTGGTTTTAAAACAATTTAGATACTTAGAATTTCACTTTATTCACCTCAAGAACAATGGCTGAAACTTGGTAAAGTCATAGGAGCAAAAGATACTCAAAGGTGGAATCACTTTTAGGGGTTTGGGGGTGCAATAGGATTTCCATGAATCTGACATGCTTCCTCTTAAGGTATGTGTATGAATGCTTGAGTGGTTCCTTTACATGATCTATATTTTCTTCACTCTGCAGAAGTCCATTGCTAAGATGGCAGAACAGCAAAACAGAGATCCATCTCTTAAATAGCAAAATGGAGAGGCAGTGTGTGAAGTGTGCCCAGGTGGAATAAAAGAAGCCTCATGAAAATTCTCCCAGAGCACTGTGTTTTCTTTCTCCTGTTCTCAGTTCATTGTTCCTCTTTTCCATGGTCCTTTTCCTTTTTGCCTCTAAAAAGAGTTCCTTTTCACCAAATGTCACAGGAATGCAGTGAAAGAAAGAAAGATGGGTTGGGTTAAATGTAGCTTCATGTTCAAGTACACTATATGTGTACACTGCAAGTAAGCTGGCTAAGCGGAAGCAGATGCCTTTCTTTCCTTATCCTTGTTTAGTGTCTCATGCACTTTCAAGATAAATTAATATTGTGTCTAGACTGTGGACTTCATATGGAGAAGGACAACCCGAAGAAGCCTGGGAACTTCCAAGATAGGCTGATTGTGAAAAGATTTTGAAGTTTTAGTCTTTGAGTCAAGGGTATTTGTACTGTAGCGGCTCACCTCCCAAAGAGATGTTGGCAATGATTCCTGAAGAGTATAGTTATAGAGGGGTTTTTATATATAAAGTATCTGCTGCTCAGACCTAATTTGGCTTGCAAATGAAGGTTATCCCAGTGTGGGATTCATAACTGATAATGAAGTTATCTCTGTAGGTTTGTAATATCTGCAGGTTTTCTCAGTTCCATTGAAGAATTATTGAAATACTTAAGAAGAAATATGAGAAAGCTTTCAGTTGCTCTTTATTTTCAAATGAACCTCCAGAAAGAACATTTTCTCTTAATTCTTGGTTGTTACTTGACTTCAAAGTTGTTTATCCTTATTATTAAAAATTAACTGGTTTTGAAGATTTACTAAACCAAGATCACCTATTTCTGTTACTCACTTAAACTCATTTTCCAGTTGTGCCATGCTCATGGCTTCAGCTTTTCATTAGAAAGGTTTGGTTGGGGAGTATGTCGTATGGCTTATTTTGTTATTCATTGAACTGTTATTAATATTTACATTAGAAGTTACTGGCATTCATGTGGCATACATCGTTATAGGATGTACTTTAAGGCTTCTGAAGCTTTAGTGTCAGCAGCTCACTGTGAACAGTTTACTGTTTGTGGTGTCCCATTTTTCCATTTGGTCCTCAAGCACTCTAAGAAACCTGATCTTGTTTCTTAGGTGCAGATTTTAAAATTAAGTTTTATATAAAGCCAAGAGTATGAGAGTAATATTGTAATCTTGGTACATTATAAATCTTAAAATTTGCATTTGAAGCCTCAGATTTCACTCTTGACAATCTAACAATTCTAGTGATCTGTCAGAGAGTTGACGCATTGTGACAAGCCTGTTTGCTTTTTAGTCCATTTTTAAAATAACAGTTTCTGTTGCTGATTTCTAGCTTAACAAATGGCGGCACAGTGTGTGACAAAGGTGGAGTTGACAGTTTCCTGCACCAGTCTCTTGGATAAAGATGTTGCTTCCAAGTCGGACCCACTCTGTGTGCTTCTTCAGAACACCAGTGGTCAGCAGTGGTATGAGGTACAGAATGATGCTTCTCATGTATCTGCTAAAAATGCCGTTTATGTTGTTGGGAATTTTAAAATACTGGAGTGTATGAGTGCATTAAAATATTTTAATTATATAAATTATTTAATTATATAGAAATATATAACTTCTATAGCTACATAAAAGATATTAAATATATAGCAGCATCTCTGAATCATAGAATCATAGAATAGTTAGGGTTGGAAAGAACGTTAAGTTCATCTAGTTCCAACCCCCCTGGCATGGGTAGGGACACCTGCCACTAAACCATGATTATGCCTAGAACAGTTACACAGGCAGCATGCTAATAATTGGGTTTTTTAAATGAATACTCACACTTGTCTGAATTTTAGAAATGTTCCACAGCCACGTGTGGACAAACAGAATGTGCCTTCTCAGGGCTTACATGTACTTTCAGAAATAAAGTACTCCAAAACTGGAATCTCATACTGGATCTGACAATATAGAATCATAGAATAGATAAGGTTGGAAAGGACCTTAAGATCATCTGGTTCCAACCCCCCATCCCATTTTAGGGCAGGGACACCTCACACTAAACTGTGTCACTCAAGACTTCATCCAACCTGACCCTGAACACTGCTGGGGATGGTGCATTCCCAACTTTCTTGGGCAACCCATCCCAGTGCCTCACCACCCTCACAGGAAAAGCTTCTTCCTTATATCTAACGTAAACTTTCGGTGTTTAAGTTTGAACCCTTTAGCCTCCTTCTACCACTACAGTTCCTGATCAAGCGTCCCTCCTCAGCATCCTTGTAGGCCCCCTTCAGATGCTGGAAGGCTGCTATGAGGTCTCCATGCAGCCTTCTCCCCAACTTCCTCAGCCTGTCTTCATACGGGAGGTGCCCCAGCCCCCTGATCATCCTCATGGCCCACCTCTGGTCTTGTTCCAACAGTTCCATGCCCTTTTTATGTTGAGGACACCAGAACTGCACACAGTACTCCAAGTGAGGTCTGTCGAGAGCAGAGGAGAGGAGCAGGATCAACTTCTTGGACCTGCTGGTCACGCTCTATATGATGCAGCCCAGGATATGGTTGGCTTTCTGGGCTGCAAGCACACACTGCCAACTCATGTTCAGTTTCTCATCTACCAACACCCCCGAGTCCTTCTCTGCAGGGCTGCTCTGAATCTCTCCTCTGCCCAGCCTGTAGCTGTGCCTGGGATTGCCCCGACCCAGGTGTAGGACCTTGCACCTGGCTTGGTTGAACTTCATAAGGCTGGCATCAGCCCATCTCACAAGTGTGTCAAGGTCCCTCTGGATGGCATTCCTTCCTTCCAGCGTATCAACCGAACCACACAGCTTGGTGTCACCGGCAAACTTGCTGAGGGTGCACTCAATCCCACTGTTCATGTCACCAACGAAGATGTTGAACAAGACTGGTCCCAACACCGATCACTCAGGGACACCACTTGTTACTGGTCTCTAACTGGACATTGAGCCGTTGACCAGAACTCTTTGCATGCGGCCATTCAGCTGGTTCATTATCCACTGAATTCAGCCAGTTCTTTATCCACTGAATCCAGCCAATTCTTTATCCACTCTTATGCTTAAATAGACAATGAACATTTGGAATGCTGTGCTGGCCAGCTCCACAGGGCCAGGACCATCTCTGTTGCTCTTTCACTGTCTCACGATCAGCCTGAGAGCGAGCTGAAGAGTGCTGATGTGCCGCAGCTGGGATGCATCCATGAGGGTGGAATTCAGCCCCTGCCTAGCCTCAGGGTGCAGGCAGCACTAGGACACGGCTGCGTGGCCTCATCCTCTAGCTGGGTCCGTCACACTGAGCCCATGCCAGAACCTGCAGTCCACGTGTAGTGGGCTGTGAGGGCAGGACAAGATGTGCTGCCAGCAGCATGTGGCAAGGGCTGCCTGCTTCAGGAAGGCTCTACAACCTTGAACTCATGTGTGCCCATCTGCATTTGCACACACAGCTCATGCACGCAGCAGCTCCCCCTGCACTCCACTGCCAGTTCCCTCCTGGAAGCACCTCCTCTTTCCCCGCTTGCCAGGTCTCTTCATAGCTTCCGGAGAGGGCCCATATTGTCCTTAGTCTGTCTTTTATTTGCTTCTTACCTATAGAAGCCCTTCCTGTTATTTTTATGTTGATCTTCTCTATGCAGGAATAAATACCCTCTACTGGGAGAGAGGAAAATCAGGTCTTCCAGTATTTCTCTGACTTACAGCAGTGGATTTTGTTACATATTTATATTTAGAAAATATATTGCAAATATAACTTTTATTAATAAATATATAAATATGTTCATATTTGATGAAGGGTTTGTAGGAAGATACGGCTTTATACTTCATAGTAAGAACTTTTGAGAGTCTTTAATAATATATTATTTGATTTGAATGCTTGTTTGATTGGTGAAATCCTGGATAAAGTGGTATCTTTCTAACTGCAGGTTGATCGCACAGAGAGAGTTAAGAATTCCCTGAACCCAAAGTTTGCCAAGAAATTCCTAATTGATTACTATTTTGAGCTTGTTCAGAAACTTAAATTTGGAATATATGACATCGATAACAAAACCTTTGATCTGAATGATGATGACTTCTTAGGGGAATTTGAATGTACACTGGGACAAGTAAGTATGCAGATGTTTTCCCTTAGAATTAAGAAAATTTCAGTTGCTTATATAATTTACCTTAAATTTACCACTGTCATCTTGTGTGATTGGGGTACTCCTAAACTGAATAGAATCCCTTCATTTGTTTCTTTAAGCCTTGGTTCCATGTGTATACATTTTATGCGCGAAAGGTCTTGTGATGGTGCCCTGAAATGTTCTTTATGATAGAGACTGTCCAGATTCCTGCCTGAAGCTAAGTGGACTGTCAATGAGCACAAAGTAGTAATTGCTATTTACTTACTGTGGTACTCAAATTCTTACTTTTAGGCTCTATAAAAAGAGAGTTTGATTTAGTAAATAATGTTCATAAGTCCCATGTTAACCTTGTAATTTTCTTTCCACTCAAGGCAAGCAACAGTGATTCTGGTTCTGCCTACTGTCAATTTCATTCCCATTTCCCAATCAGATTCTGCTTCCCTGTGTCTAAAGTATTTTAATTTTCAGCTTATTATGGAGACAGAGGCATGGTGAAATGAAATTCAGTAACAATTTAAAATTAATCATTCATTCTTAAAGTAAAGAAGGACATGTAAAATGAGTAGACAAACTTCTGAAAAGGCATTGCCTGCAGAGGATAAAATAAAATGAACTGCAGAAACACTGCAGGGGGAGTCTGATGTTTGTTTCCATGACAAACATTGTGTTTACAGATCTGTTTGCTGAACCCCTTAATGAAATGTGGCTTTCATGTGTTTGAATCATATGTATGAAAAACTTAAGAATGGTTTGAGATTGAAACTTAAGGTATTTGTCCATTATGTGTATCATGTTACTAGAAGACATTTGATTGCATACTGCTCCTGAAACTCTGCGTGTGTTCATCTGCATATGTATTTTAAAATTTCAAAATATATCAAGTATTAACTATTTATTTATAAAAAATCATGGAAAGTAAATGCCATGCTGTCATCTTCATGATAAAGGAAAGATTAATAAAAGGAAAATACCTCACTATCTGATTTCATTCCTTTGAAAATATATTAAATTGTGCTACTGATACATTTAATTGTGCTACTAATGTTTAATACACAAATTTTGTCTTGGCAGATAGTTTCTAGCAGGACTCTAACAAAACCATTAGTACTCAAAAATGGCAGACCTGCTGGAACAGGAAGTATTACGGTAAGACAATATGTTCCTTAAATGTTTTGGTGTTTGTTTGTTTTGTTTGGTTGGTTTTTTTTTGAGTTAGTGTTTTGAACACCGTATGTGTAACCTACAGTGGTGTAAAAAGTATCTTAAAGCTTTCTATTTGTTTATTTTTCCCCTTCCACTTATATTTTTTTGTTATCCAGAACAGCAGCGACCTGCCTTCTTCATCTCTAGGTCTCATTGCATCCATAAAATAATTATCACATCCAGTGTGCGACGTTTGGGCAATATCTTTGTCAGTATCAGCATCTCGTGAATCCCAATATCAGATCAAATTGTTCTTCCCTCCCCAGGCTCCATTTTTTAATATTTCATTTGTGAGTAAACGTGATTTATTTTAGTGGACCTGTTGTGAATATGAGAAAACTATGTAGTTCCTGAATACAGAATGAGGATTTAATTTTTTTTGCCTTTCTAGATTACAGCAGAAGAAGTGAAGGACAACAGGGTGGTTGTATTGGAAGTAGAAGCAAGGAAACTGGACAACAAGGTATTTAAGCCATTGCTGTTTCTTAGTAAAATCAGAATCTTGTCAAAACAGGAAACATTAAGATGTTTGGGTTTTTTTGTTTTGTTTTGTTTTGTTTTTCTGAAACACATCCATTAAGACTCTTCTTATGTTAACAAATTGAGGAAAGATTGTTTCACAGTAAGTTTATTAACTGTTTTGAAATGAACTCTAATATATTTCTAAAAAAGCCAAGTGCATTTCAGGAATAGTCTGAGAACAGCATGCTTCCATTTAAATGTAAATATTTATATTTAATCATAATAATAAGGGAGTTTGGTATACTGATTGGGTTGAATAGGTGTGTAAATGATTAACTGCTATCACTCTGAAATAACTGGACAAGAGTATACTTGGAGTGTATCAATCTGTTATGTGAATGTTTTGAGGCTGGCTAAAATGACTCTATTTAGAATGACTTTTAAAAACAAAATAATGAAAAATATGTTGTTTTTCTCAGTTGATTTAATGCTACTTTTTTGAACAAGATTAAATCCTTAGTTTTCTAACTAATTATGATGGATAGTATAAATATTATTTTATTTGAGTTGTCAGGTATCTAGTATATGAACACTACAGAACTTTTATCCTAAATTGACAGACACGCCCTGGGTTTTTCCTTCTTTCATCAGACTTACATTTCTTCATCTAAAGTTTTTGTTCCATGAACATCTAGTTTACTTTTTGTTTATCTAAGTGTGCTTTAACTGGCATTTAATAACATTCATGCCACAGGCTGTTCCAGGATAATTACATGTTCTTTAAATACAGGATTTTTTTGGAAAGTCAGATCCTTATCTGGAATTCCACAAGCAGACGGGAGATGGAAACTGGGTGATGGTTCACAGAACAGAGGTAGGATATTTTGAGTCAACAATTTAGAGATTAAGTTTATTTGATTTTTAGTGTGTCACAGCACTAGAAATACAGTGCCTTACAAAAAGAAGAGAATGGTCTGGAGGTTGACACACAGACTGGTTAAAAATGACCTCAGATCTTCCACTGATTTTATGGTAGAATGGGAAGTCTACCTTACTCTGTTGCTGATTTATGCCATCCTGTTTTAAAGGAAAATACTAAAAAAAACCATTCAAACGGACAAACAAATCCACAAAAAAACAAACCCCTACCACAAAACTTTCTGCAGTTTAAAAGAAAACAGAAGTTTTGAAAAGGTACTGTGTACTCACACATGGACATTTGTCTGAGTGCTGCTCTAAGGGTAAAAGTTGGGCATTCCTGTGACTGTGCTGTTCTTAGGTCAGGGTCAGCTAGCTGTACTGTTTAGTAATGAAAGTAATTATACCGCATGGTTGCATAGCAAGGGCAAGACAAGGATAATGTTGACCGAGGGAAAGTGTGCTTGAGCAGCAGCAGCCTTCTACCTTGGAGGAAGTGCAGAGGTGCCATGGCAGCAACTGACAGGTCAGGTTCAAAATGTCTCACTGTAGTGGAAGCCCAGACCCTAGTCACAACTGAGGTACTCTGTGCATTTGAAGTGGTGACTGTGTTAATTTTGAATCATGGATATCAAAGAACTATAAATCCTTTTTGTGTCAGATCTATAAAACTTGTTTCTCTTGTAAGGTGGTTCTGTGTAACTTATATCTTTCCCATGAGGATTTCAGTCATCTTTAGATAAAACCCAGATTTGCTGTTCCAGCCTAGAACTGGCTGGAGGATTAGTTCTTTATGTTACAGATTTTAAAAACTTTTTATGTTACTAACCATTATTTATTTACTCTTTTTATTTTCAAAAGAGCTGTTTCTTTCCTTGCACTCATACAGTGCTGGAAGTGTAAGTACTATTAGGTATCATTAATTAAGTATTTCTTGTTGCATGTAGTTTCTTGTGCTTTATAAGATCGTGATTTGGTGTGTATTGGGCATATTACAGATATTTTCCAGTTGACAAATTCTGAAGATCATTCAGTATTATTCTTAAATGTCATGTTTTTAGTGTTCAATTTGAGACCTTTTTTCCTCATGTACTGTTTCTGCTTAACTGTACCGTGAATTTCTTGAGGGAGTATTTCCATAAGCAGCATTTCAGAATAAATAGAGGCTGCAGTGAATTGTACTCTTTAGAGCACTGATGTATTCAGAATTTCCAATCTTTTTCCACTTTCTTTGGTAAGCCACACTTTCATATGTGTTTGTGTTTGTGTGTATTAAGAAAAAAAGGCAATATTTATATAAATATTAATTTTTTGCTGTGTAGTATCTGAATCATATAATAGATCACAATGTAGTCTAGAAAAATATGGAGCTAAAAGATAGTATCTCTTTTGGACAATGGTATTGCTTGTTCAGAATGTTATGTTTGTTTGTATATTCTACATGCTAGGATTTGGATTGCAGGAAGTGATGGACAGCATCATTAGTCAACTGGTTTTGCTTACAAAAATCATGGCATGAAGGCATGACCCATTACAATGACTACATTCCAATTCTGGGAACAATACTATTCTGGCTTTTTTTATAAACAGGTTATTAAGAACAACCTGAATCCAGTTTGGAGACCCTTTAAAATCTCTCTCAACTCTCTGTGTTACAGTGACATGGATAAGTCGATCAAGGTAATGTATATGAAACGTGTGTATGAATTAATGCATTAAAAAATGAGAGTCTGTAGTAATAAATGGATGATGTGTTATTCTGGTTATTGCCTCTGTTTCAAATTGAATTGAAAGTATTAGGATTCGTCCTCTTATTTAAAATTCACAAAGATACATGCATATTTTAGGGGCAAAAAAATATATCTCACATTTGTCTGGTAGAATTTGATCTTTGAAAGTCTGAGAAAACAGTTAAACACAAGTAGCTTTGGAAGACCTGGTTCAGTTTCTTATTTGGATCATAGTTTTAGGTTGCATCAGCCAGTATCAGTGGCATTAAGATACTGTATAGTGAAAGATGTGTGGTAAAGGCTAGAATATGCTTTGGTCTACATTATAGATCTTATAATACTTTGTTACTGGTACAACAGGTAACACTAAGGAAATTTTTAATATACTACCTCGTACAATTAGTTACCCTAAATATACCAGCTGAGATAACAGATGTGGACCAAATATGTCTTGTGGATTCCAGATGTAGCAATTTTTTCTCCTCAGATAGAACTGAACCTTCTGTCAGAAAGTCACCAAACCTGTGAAGTGACAGTTCTACCAGGACTGGTCTTTAACTATTTGTATCTTCAGATTTTATCTTGAATAAATTACCTTTAACTTCTGAGTGTTTTTCTTCAGGAATTCCCTTTCAGGGTGGAATTGAAACTAAGCAACCCATCAAAAGGCCATTTATAATCTATTATGAACATGTTAGAAACCTGGTATTTTAGCATTTAAGAAAAAAAACCCAACAAACAAATGAATAAACCACTGTACTTGCCATTTTTCCTCTGGGTAGGAAAAATGAGAGCATGATCTGCATGTGACAGATAGGTATTAGTCACATGACTTGAGCCCTCCTTGGAATATGCTGAGCAGCCAGAGGGAGCTGGGTGTTAAAAGCACCTGTATAGATTTAAACACATAATGATAGAGCAGACTAATGAACAACTTTAGAAGCCTGCTTCCCAAGAAGTTTGTGTACTTTATCATTCCTTTCTGCTTCCCTTTTCCCCCAAACAGCTGTAATAGCTCTTTCATCTCCATATACTGTAAATATATTTTTTTCAGTAAACAGCTGTACTAAAACTATAGACCATTGATTAAATTATATCTATTAAAATGGAGTAATTATCAGTTCTGTCACCGTTTCAATAAAACCTGTTCATTGGAATCCTACCTCAGAAGTGTAGGTTTATTTCCAGAGGAAATAGATTTTACTTGGAGTTGTTAAACGGTTGCAGGCAGACAATAGGACTATGTCTTAATTTATAAGTCCAGGAGCTATTACTTCAAACATAAAAACAGAGGAAGAATTGTATTATAATGTTGAAGGATTAAACCATACTTTTTAACACTTTTATATGTGCACAGTTGCATACGTAATGGGCTATTTGTCATAGTAAGTAAACCTACCAACTTTTTCATAATGAATGGCTTGGTTTGTGTATCCTCAGCAATGCACAAACCAAGTTGTTTCTTTATCTTACGGATTTATTGCTATATTCCATCAGAGTGTGTTTGCGGTCAGTGAAGTTTTTCCATATTGAAAATGTGAGCCTTTCATCTGGAGCAAGCATGCCTAGTTCTGCTGGGTCAAATATATATGCAATCTTATCACCTGGTTCCCTAGTGCTTTTGTATGTCCAGGAGGAGCATACACGGAACAAAAGAAACACTTTTGTCTTGCTTGGATAAACATTGAAAATTGGCTTAGATTAGTTGCATATATCAAGCAAGACAAGCTTTGATCCCTTTAAACGGAAAGATAACTAACTGTGCCAACTGTGAGCAGGTATCATAACTGTTGTCTCAGGAGATGTCTTCAGTTTTAAATTTCAGGTACTGAAGAACTTGGCTGAGTATTTGATTGGCTTAATTTATGGCATTCAAAAGAATTTACATAGCATCTGCCATGAATATTAGTCTTTTGGTTCTGTAGCTGCTTGTATGAGATTTAAGTTGCTATTCACTGCATGTGCATGCATTTTTTATTAGTGCGTTCAAAATGTAGTAGTGCAAACTGCAACATAGAGGCATGAGGCATGTTCTGCACAGCATACAACTTGTAATCTACACATCATATTTTGTACTCTTCAACATTCCTGTTTGTATTCAGAGACTTAATTCGTCTCAGAAGCTCAAGTGTATGTTGAAGTTGTTTGCTTTCCTTTATTATTCCTAAGTGCAGTGGCCAAGTAATCAACTGAATTGTTTCTTTAATATAATGTATTTTTTTTTTTTCAGTCTGGAAAGACAAACATGAAAATATCTGTTCATTTCAAGCCCTATGTATTCAGAAAAGGTTTTCTTGAAGCTTGTTTTGATTACATTCTAATGGAGGATTCCTACTTTAACTCTTGGTTTATTATTTTTATTATTTATAATTATTTTTATCAAGTTACTTTATTTTTTTTCCTGTTACCTGATTAGCTAGCATGTCTGCATTGCTAAACTGAAATAAAATACCAGAAGTGGATGGAACTAGCATATGCTATTATAAATAAATAACCAGCTTTTTATCTGAAAAGGCAGATCAGCCACATTTGTAAGTTAAACTTTTAAAAAACAGAAATTGAAGATGCTGTAAATAAATAACAGTGGTAGAATGATACTCAAATTGATGGGTTCTTAGGAAATAAAAAAGATTTCACATGTTCTGCCTCCTTTCATGTGTTGGAGTGTTAAAAGATGTTAAAAAGAAACAAGTCCTGTTTCTAGATTTATGGCTGAACCTTCATATACTTCTGAATTCTGAGATATCGTTAATCAGTATAAAAGTGTTAATAAAACTCTTGTGATTGCTGAATAACTGGTTCACTAATTTTTTGGCTGGATGCTTAGAGATAGCTAAATTTCCTTAATACCTCTGAAAAATTTAAGTCTCTTAATCCATGATTACAGTAGGAAAAAAATACATTATTCTCTTGCTGTTCCCAACACCCTCACACTCCCAAAACATAGTTCATTACAATTGGTGTTACTTGCTCATTCAAGACCTGAAGCTGCTTAGTATTTTCCTCTCTCCTTCATTCCAGTGAAAGATCTGGTCTGAAATGGGTTATATTGGTTTTTATCATGCTTCATTCATAATTTTAGGTGTAACTCTATGCAATTCTAAGAGTGCAATCTGGGAAAATCTCCATCATGTAAGAGATTCAGGTTTGCCTGAGGAAATGCTATGGAAGTGTTCATTGCTTTTGTAGGGCCATTTCTGTTACTAACAATGAATAGTGCTTCATTTTAGGTAGAGTGCTATGACTATGATAGTGATGGGTCTCATGATCTCATAGGAAGCTTTCAAACTACGATGTCAAAACTGAAAGAAGCATCCCGGTCCTCACCTGTAAGTCTTACATAGTCTACCTGTGTGCTTTTGATGAGCTGTTTCACTCATTTGGGAGCAAAACTTAAATGTCACTTGACTTGTGATATTGAAGTTGTTAGGCTGCACCTTAACAATGCTGCTGTAGTTGAGGCTAGCTCAGCATTTACATTACACATCCATTTACCTACATGGTGGCAGGAGCTGCATAAGCTGGCTCAGTGTTGACTGCGCTAGTAGGTTAAGGTAATGGTTTAACTGATGAAGCCTCAACAACTGATTTTGGGAAGCTTAAACATATAGGTATTGCTTCATTTGTCAGTGCTACAGCTGCTTTGTTAAAGACATGGTGATTCAGGCAAAAATCAGGTTTTTAGACAGTAGAATCCTCAGAGGGAAAATAGTACCATTTCTTTGGTTAAAATACAGTTGTCTAAACAAACATATTTATAAACTTTTTGGTAAGAGAGGATTTCTGTCTTGATAGTGGCATTCTTCTTGCTAATTTGGGGCAAGCTGGGTTAAATTTTTGATAGTGAGACTGCATTTTTAATACAGACCCAAAGTATCAGTCGTAGAATGAAGAAGTTTTTGTTGCATAATGGTACTTATAGTTCTTATGTTGGATTTGTTTGTGTTCATGCAGGTTGAATTTGAGTGCATCAATGAAAAGAAACGACAGAAGAAAAAAAACTATAAAAACTCTGGTATTGTGAGCGTTAAGCACTGTGAGGTTAGTGATGTATTCTGGTATTACTCTAAGTGTTCAGGCGTAACAGCTGTCACCTGCTATGCTTTAACCCTCAAACTGTAAGAAACTTAAAAATGTCTGAAAGTTCCAGACACAGTAGGTATTTAAGGAATCTGATTCATATAAGGAGACAGATTGGCAGCTGAATCTTGTGTCTCTCCTTCTCTGTCCCCTCACTTTCTCATGAAGGTGCCATCTATATGGCAAAGATCACTTACTAATTTGTAAGGCCATTCCTGAACCCCTGCATTTCCTAACTCACCATTATATGATGAATTAAAATCTGTTATTATATGTTGGTTTATAAATAATAGAGCTTTTGGAGCTGCTTTGTTGTCTACCTGTAATTTTGTAAAAGGCCTAATTCTGATGCACTGACGGCCCACTCTGTAGATACCCTTACTGCAGTGGGTGGGTAAAATCTGTAGAGTAAAAGTAGCCTATAGTAAAAGTATGTATCTTTAGATGTCTGTAGAGTAAAAGTAGTGCTTTGCATGGGTAAAGATAACAAATCTACAATCTCAAAAGTTACTGCAATAATACTGGTTTTCTTAAATTAGAAAGTTAATTTCTACATTTAACTTCTGGTTTTAGATCATAGTTGAGTGCACATTCCTGGATTACATCATGGGTGGATGTCAACTGAATTTCACAGTAAGTAAAATCATTTATATGGAGTAGCTTTTGAGTTTCAGAATGAATGGAAATGTATAATTGATTGCCTGTGTGCCTGTGCTCTGCATTTTATTATCAGGGATTTTTTTGGAGGGGGCCTAGGCTTGATTTTTTTTTTGGGGGGTGGTGGTTTTGTTTGTTCTGTAGCATGGAGGGGGAAGTCATTTTGCCAGAGTCCATCTAGTGTGTTTAGAAAAAATTATTTTCATGGCGTGAAGTTCTGAACCTGTAGTTATGTTTGTTAGAAACTAGCTGAGCTGTGTGGATGGAGCCCAAGGAGAACCAAATGCAGTGCAAATAGCAGTAAGATGTCTTCACCCTGGTGATATACTTAATCACTAAAGCAGGGAAGACCCACTGAGGTTGGAGAAGTGTCTTTACGCTTCTGTGGTGTCTGTTGTACTTTTGAGAAGAAAGATGTGTATGGCAAGATAGAGGGTGAAGTTAGTTTAATAGCTATTGAAGAGCCACTGTGAATGGTAACTGAAGTGAACACAGTGAAAACCTGACAGATGAAAGTCATTTCAGCTCTTCTGACAAATGCAAAGCTGCTGATGGTTTTGTGGAGGCATTAAGTGTTAATATTCCAAGAAACCTGCGTCTGAGTATTATGCCTATTAGATTTGTAGATGTCCTGGTAACTACTATTTACAACCCTTTAATGATTTTCAGTTTGACCTTGTGATTGATAAGAAAGATAATTTTACCACTAACAGCAATTTAATATAAACATTGCATTTGACAGGTAGGGATAGATTTTACAGGCTCCAATGGAGACCCTCGCTCTCCAGACTCTCTGCATTACCTCAGCCCTAATGGAGTTAATGAATACCTAACAGCCATCTGGTCTGTAGGACTGGTCATTCAGGATTATGATACGTAAGTTTTAGATTTTCATTTGAATAATTTTTAGATATGTATAGATTTTTATGGTAGCTTCTTAAGCCAGTGTTGAAGGTGCTAGCAGATATATTGGAATAAAACTTCTGAGATGAAATGTAGAGCTAAAAAAGACTTCATAATCACTGCAGAATCGCATAATCACATAATCACAATGAGAAGCTTGTGTTGCAGCAAACAGCAAGGCTTTTCATCTGTGATGCAAAAAGCAGTGTTGATTTAAATAAATTCTTGCATTTTTGCCAATTTGGTGTGGAACACTGGTTTTGGTCCTAGAAACAATTACATGGCGCAACTTCCATTTAATTTTGCCTCTTAATGCTTAATAAACAGCATTTTTAATAGTCAAAAGGGGGACTGATTATCTAAATCTACTGAATTATGAGCTTTTAAAGGAAGGTATTCACTTAATTTTCTTTAAAATTGCCTTTTTTAGAGATAAGATGTTTCCAGCCTTTGGATTTGGTGCACAAATTCCTCCTTCGTTTCAGGTAATGGAATATGTAAATGCACTACATATTAACTAAAAGCACTTACTTCAGGAGGAGATTGTATATACAGTCCTTGACCATGTCTTGTATATTTACAGGTATCACATGAGTTCCCGTTAAATTTTAACCCATCAAACCCATTCTGTAACGGTAAGTCTGAGCAAGTCTAAGGTGAAGGGATAAAAATCACATGGAAAGTGAACTGTGAGGCCTGTTGTTCTAGTTAAATAAGGAATTTAGTTTTGTAACAGGAAACAATTTTACAATTGTTTTCTTAGTTGCTACCATTAGCATTTGGTCTCTCTTCTGTAATGATTTGTGAAAGAAGTGTTTTAAGCAGGGTACAGTACACATAAATGGGAATGTTCCTCTTATGTTGTCAAGCCAATTCATTCTGCTTCAATGTGGAGTGGAGTTGTCTGGTTTGAATATGATGCTGCTAGTGCCTGTTCAACATGGTCTCACTGATCACACTATTAACTACCATGAGCTACTACATGAAGAGAACTGCTGCAAGCCATTGGCCTTTCTGTTCACATAGAGGCAAACATGTTAAGCAGTTGCATTAAGCATTAGTAAAACTAAAGGCCTCCACTGCTTATAGAATGATTTACTTTTTTTCATCATGGTTAGTTTTAAATTTTCATGTCATCACTTTAAATAACTGATATAGACAGTGTTTCAGGAAGATTGAGTGCTTCAAAATAATCTGATATGAAAAAAAATAAATGTGATCTATTTGCATTCTCTAGGAGTCCAAGGCATCGTTGATGCATATCGGGCTTGTCTTCCTCAAGTGAGGTTATATGGACCAACAAATTTTTCTCCAATTATAAATCATGTGGCAAGATTTGCTGCTGCAGCTACACAACAGCAAACAGCATCTGTAAGTTCCTTATGGTACTGCATATATTTTTTTTACTTTCTTCTTTCCCTTCCAGTTAACATATACTATTTTTCTCTTTTAAGCTATATTTGGTTTGACAGATGGGTATTTACCTTGTGAATTGGTGTTAGGTACCCCTAAAAGGAGATACAAGCTAACTGATTTCTGCAGATTGTGCACAGTAGTTCTCTCCAAAATTAACTAAACAAACTCTTCAGGTTTGAAATCCCAGCTTAAAAACATATGGAATCTTCATGGTATTTTGTATTCCAAGCTCTTGCTGTGCTAATCAGGTGTTAAAAGTCTAATTTAAGCCTTTGCATATAGGAAAGTGGCTTAACCTCAGCTGAGAAAATCACCTAGACCTTGTTTCACATCAGATAGCTGAGAGAGAGAATTAAATAAGATAACAAAGAAATGGAGGCTATAGCTCCTGCTGCCTAGGTGCCAACATAGATAATAAATTGTCCGTACTAGAAAGCTTTAGGTGCTGTAGGTGCTGTATGTGCTGTGTCCTGCTCTTTATTAAAATATATTTTAGAGTTGTTGACCGTATTAAGAAATAGGAAATCTGAAGATCAAGTCTTGAATATGAAATAATTTAAATAATAATCCATGCAAGTTCAGCAAATCTGAAGCTATATATATATCCTAAATAGTTAACAATAATAGATCCTGGTGTCTCAGACACTGTGTAAAATAAGAAAATAAAATCAGCTGGTTTTGCATAGAAAAGTACCTGTGAAAACCAATTTGGAAAACAGCTATTGATTTTCATATGGCAGGAAATTTATAAGGTTTTGATAGCCTTTCAGTAGTAACTGTCATCAATATATACATATATATATACACACACACATGGAAAGTAGCACTTCTTTTTTTTTTCCCAGAGAGTCCAGTATGCCTTGCAAGAGATTTTTTTTCTGCCTGAAAGGATGTATTGAATAAATTTTGCTGCCTTGCTATTTAATGTGTATTGTAGATATTTGGGGGTTGCTTTTGGCTTTTTTTTTTTTTTTTCTCCAGTATGAGGGAAATATGAGAAGAGAGATAAATCCAGTGTGAAACTCTATCATGCTGCTGGTCTTGGCCTTCTCTGGTCATAGTTCTTTTGTAAATGTTGTTGGAGGGGGAAAATAGAGTGCTGGGGAGCAAAGAGAAAAGGTGATACCTGAACACAGCAGATAAGGGAAAACCAATTATTTTAGAAGCAGGTAAGTGAAGACAAGGAGCAAAATTCTGAAGACTACTATGTATACCTTTGGAACTTGAATCTCTGCTGCCCAGCAATCTCCTGAAATGAGCCAAGTGAGAGAAGACCAGAAGTTCAGCAAGTGTTTTTATAGTTTCTGAACTTTGTACTTCTAGCTTTTCCTTCATGCTTCTATCCAGAGCAGAGGCTGAGATGCCAACTTGCAGAAGCCCTGGCAGTATGGTGGAAGCAGGTCAAGTGGTGCTTGAATAAATTGTCAAAGTACTGCGAGGTGGTCTCAGATACCTTGATAATTAACTTCACAAAGCAGCTAGAAAACAGCATTAAAGAAATTTGAAAATGGACATGCTGGTTTTCAGCATGAAAAAGATATGTTTTAGTTTAAAAGAGTTCCAGGACTCTATTCGTTGTTAGCTGATAAAGAACAAGAGTGATACCACTGTTGTTTTTTTGGGAGGTGATGTTTAAAGATGACTTCTAAAAGATTGAGTCTGTTGCCCTTATAAATTTCTTCAGACTGTACAGTTCAAGCTTGACCACAGCTTAGATGTCTGCTTGTAAAATTCAGTGAGTGTATTGAACATGCTTACAGTGACCAAAGCGTATAGTCTGTGTGTTCATTTTCCTAAGTGTACATGCTTACCTGTTTTCTGTTTCTTGTCATAATGTGGTGTTTATTGATTCGACAGCAATACTTTATACTCCTGATCATAACGGATGGTGTGATAACAGACCTTGATCAGACTCGAACTGCCATAGTTAATGCTTCAAAATTGCCCATGTCCATTATCATTGTTGGTGTTGGAGGAGCAGATTTTGATGCTATGGAGTTTCTTGATGGTGACGATGGAGTTCTTAGGTCCTCATCCGGAGAACCAGCTGTCAGAGACATTGTCCAGTTTGTGCCATTCAGGAAATTCCAAAATGTAAGTAATCTTGGTGGAATGTTTAATAAATATGGTAGAGGTATGCTGGGTTTGCTAGGATAGCCTACATATAGTCCTAAGCTTTTTCAGAGTCTCTAAAATTAACTCTGAAGTCTAAAAAGAAAAAAGGACTAAAAACTTAAGGATCTGTAGAATTTTTAGTAGGTGAGCTGATGCATGTTCAAAAGAATTCCATTCTGGTTTCAGCATTGCATTTCTGACAAGTTGCTGCAGAGGAATAACCTTTGTAATTCTCCCTCAAACTTGATTAAATACATGGATGTGGTTTTCATTTGGGAGAAAGAACTTATTGTGGCTTTATTCTTATGGTAGAGTGTTCTTATTGTGGATGCCCATTTGTAAATGTGGATCAGTCTCACATTTTAGTGCAGTGTTAAAATTCAAGGCTAAATCAGGAAGGCTGTAATCAGTAGAAATTGTGTCTGGGCGCAATAGTGGTGATAGTTTTGGTTTTCTTTAAAACAAGTATACCAAAAAAAGAGGCAGTGCAAGAAGAGAGTCCTGATTTTTTTTGCTGTAGAACCCAATAAAATATGTTCTGGCTAGTATATAGTCTGACTTTTAAATGTGATATTGCTGGAAAAAAGTTGATTTAAGAAAAGAAAACCAAACCAACAAACTCAAAACAATAAAGAAAACCCAACAGAAAAAAGAACAAACCCCAAACCCAGAAACCTAATAGATAGAAAAAAAACACAAACAAAACCAAACAAAAAACCACAAACAAAAATCCAAACAAAAAGTAAAGAAAATTTCTTCAGGATGGGGGAGATAAGATTAATATTTTAATTTCCACCCTTATGTTCTAGTTTTGTTTCTTAATATTAACCCTGTTAATAATACTCCTTATACCTTCTTATTTTATCTTTGTATTTTGTACTTTTACTTCTGTTAGAAGTTTTGTTAGTGTTGGAGCAAATCATGCAAACTGAAAGGATAAAGAGCAAAATCAATATAGAATGTGCTCACTGAATAATGCACCTGGATGTAGATTAACTAGGGTCAATATTCAGTATAAAATTATACATTAAAATGCTTTCAGTTTCTAGAAAAAGGGGTGCTTTTTTCCCCATGGGTACTTAGTCTTACAGGGGAAACAGCATCTTTAGCAGAGCTCCTCTGGAGCAGTGCAATTACTGTGGGTGAGACATGGTGCAAAAGGTTGTGAATAGTGAGACAAGCCCCTGAAGTGTCATCTAAGCAGATAGTGAAAGAGTGTTTACATGGCTGAAGTTTAGCATCTGCACTCTGTGTGCATTTCATATGACAAAAGGTACCTTCAGACATGGCAGGCCTTTGCACACCCAGCTTCTGTTACTTCAGTGGAGTAAGGCAGCCAGCGGCTTCCTAGTAATGGGAGTGAGATGGTGGGGATTTCAGAGAAGCTTCCATCTGTCCCACAAGGGCACTGTGTAAAGTCCTCTGTAAAATGCCAGACTTTAAATTGACCTAGTAGAGGAGGTGCTTATTACCTGTCTTAGGATCTCTGTTAACAGTTGATGGAAACTGAAACTGTGTTCTTTTTTGTTTTATAAGTCTCCAAAAGAAGCGCTGGCACAGTGTGTCCTGGCGGAAGTCCCTCAGCAAGTGGTGAACTACTTCAGTACCTACAAACTGCAACCTCCCAAGAATCCTGCTGCAAAATAAATGGGCTGACCAGGATTGATGGGATTTCGTACTGGCTTTACTTGCTGAATCTGCAGTCTTTGGTTCTCCAGATACTTCTGTATACATGTATACACACGCACCTCTGTGTGGTAATGTCTGTTAGCTTATGCCTGCAAATCACGTTCCCAGGTGTGCCTTTTAAGGGCCAAACTTATAATTGCGTTAATATTTGATGTTGATTTGAGAGATGGGGCTTACATGGGTGCATTTTATTTTGAAAAGTAAGAGTGGAAAAGAAGAGGTTAAATATGCAGAGGGAAAGGGGAGGTGGAGCAGCTGCCTGATTCATGAATATTGCCTTGCTGATAAACATTTTTATGGGGATCAGCGGGAGAGCTTCAGTTTCTCTGTGATCATAAGAGCAGTCAGAAACGAAGAAGGGGGTATATTCCCACCAAGCAGGTAACAGTTTGTATGTGCTTCAACAAATCTGAAATATTTCAGGCTTCTGTGTCTATTAAATCATATAACAAAACTTGCAAGTTACATAACAAAATAAGTGCCACAGGGCATAAAGGCCCTCCTTGCATGCCTGCTTTACGCTTGCCACTTTAGTGCCTTTGGCCAATGCCTGGGATTCAAGGCTGTGTGAACTTGAGCTAAAGAAGTCATTAAAGTGTACGCTGTTTTCTAGTGTGCATTCTCTTAAGGTAGCACAAGAAGAACAAGGGTGAATCAAGGTAAGCCTCAAACATCTGAGAAGGATGCTACTGGCCTTTGAGGACACTCAAAAGTTGTAAGATATATTTCAGTGTGTACTGTGTTAGAAAATGGGAACTCCAGATTTTGTTTTGGTTGGGGTTTTGGTTTGGTGTCCCTTCTCCCCAAGCCAGTTAGGGCTGTTGACCTTTCAAAGGGCTTTTTGTGAAGTGAGAATTCACTTTCTAGTTGATAAGTTTTGTCTGATTTTTGACTGCATATTTTCAGACAAAGGCAGTTCTTGAAAGTGCTACCTATGTTGGTTTTGTCATATTTTGAATCATGCTGCTTTTTCATGAGCCCACTAGTGCAAAGTGGTTACAAAATCCCTTCTTCCCTTGCTGAAGGAAGACAAGAAAGTCTCCGAGCCCTGACCCTATAATCATACTGTGTTTCTCTGGGGTAAACAATTCCTGGTTTATTTTTTTGGCTTAATGTTTCCTCTTCAGCATTTATGTCAAGTGTAAATCATGTTGCATTTGCTTAGTGGACAGATTAAGCTTTCTTGTCTCCCAGCTGCATACTGCTTGCTGAGGAGCTCTTCTGATTCTGTCAGTGCATGTAATGTATATGGATGTAAAGGTCTCATTTATCACTTCCAGAATGCCCATCTTGAACATGAATTTTGCTGTTTCACATTTGAAGTGGTGTAGACATCTGACTGATCCTGTTTTGGATGGTCTAGCTGTAACAGGAAAGAACAGAGTGGACTAGCACTAAATTTAGCATACTTGGGCATTCAAGATTACACCAGGTCATAGTGTACGTGACTTTCTGTGTGACTTTTTTTAGTTGCTGGACCTGCTCTGTATAGTTTGGGTGGTATTTTTTTGTTCCGTACATCCTGTCAAAAATCTGAGCTCACATTAACGTCAGTAGATGAAAGATGTTTGCATTGAGATTATCTTACACATCCTGTAAAACATACCACATGTTCTGTAGATAGTTGGCTAGTTATCAATCATGAATATGTTATTCTCTGCTCTTTTCCTTGATGGAAGGGGGTCCTAAATAGTTTCATTAGTGAAATATTAAAGAAGAAATTTTGTTTCATATTAAGCCAAGCTTTCTTATTTCTTAAATCGAATTCATGTGTTTATATAAAAATCTACAGTCATCTTTTTATCAGTGTAATGCAAATGTGCTACTACTTTATTCATAAACTATAATGAAGTGTCGTGCCAGGTATGCAACAGAACATATTAAGATCAACTAAGTAGTTACAAGGAACCTAAATCGCACTGCTGCAAATAGGTATTGTATAATTTTGGAACAGTAAATATTTTCACAGCTGCATGCTCCATGTACAGGGGTAACTGGATGTGGTATTAGTGCTTTGTCTAGATTCACTGAAGTGGACATGTACTGTTGACAGGAGTACAGGATAGTACTGAAGAACTCAAACCATTCTATGATTCCTCTGAGGTGTCTGCCAAAAATATAATGCTGTGTCTGAGTTATGTTACTAATTCTAGTTTAAGTTGCTGGTGACGTGCATTTAACCGAAATTAGTTATGTTAATAGGTATTATTATACTAAATATCTGTTGCATATAAAATAAAAGCTTTCATTTTGTCTGTATGCTGTACATAAATTCTGAGTTTCTACAGCGGATAATTCATCTCTTACTGGAAAAGTGAAAATTGCCCTCATGTTCCTCAAGCTTAGGGAATTAAATAGCATATCCACAATACCTACTTCTCCAAATGCCTTACACTGTGTAAAAGAAAAGTGTTTCAGACCTGACAAGGGCAAGAACCCTTTTCCAGGTATAATCTCTTAAGAGATGTACAGCTAACGCCTGCTGAAAAATTGGAAGCTTCTGAGTTAGGCTGGAGCTGTATTCTGAGTCAAGGAAATGCAGCTGATTGTGAGTCGGGGGAGGGTAGTTGCTGGGTTTTGCCATTTTTTTTGTTAATTTTTACAAGTTAAAAATGCCTTAGTTGCTTGACAGTGATAAAGCAAACTACTGTCGGTTTTGTGAAGTCAATGAGCTTGTAGGTCACTTGCACCACCTTGTGATCAAAATGATGTATAGCGGTCTTTGTAATCGGATGCTTTTTGCCATTTAGAGGTCATAATATGTATATATATGTACAGCAGAGAAATAAGCTGTAACCAGAATTTTTTACTTTTCTATGTATTTCAGCTCTGGTGAAGTAAACTGATTTACAATGCCTACACATTAAAAATATAATTTCAGTACACTGTTCTTCTGTTGTGCCTTTGTACTCAGCACTTTTTGTATCATGATAAACGCTGCTTTTTCAGTTCCTGTAATGAGTATGGCACAGGCTGAACAGCTCAGATTTGTAACAAGTATTATCAGATGGGAGGAAAACTGCCTTTTCACTCAGTGGTTATGAATGTGCAGTATGTATTTTGTAAAGCATCTCATACTGGCTTTTAGCAAGAAGATATTCCGAATTCGGACAGTTTTAGCAGTGCCTGCTTCATGCTCTTTTACCATGTGAGAGTTCTCTCATGTATGCTATTTAATACAGTTATTAATGGCTCTCCAAAATGTTTTTCAGAACAGCGTTTACCTTTTAAGTAGACAGGCATGGAGATATGGTGGTTTTTCATTTTCAAATACATTGTCCTATTCCACCCTTCAGCTTCTTTACACTCAAGTGTAGTCAAGTTTGAGATGCTTTATTGGGAAACTGGGAAATGCTGGAGACATAGCATTGCAGCAGAGTGTAATGCCACACACAGCCTGAGTGAGCTTTGGTACCTGCAAGGTGTGTCTTCTGAGTGCACTAATCTGCTTGACTTCTCCATCAGTAAAGAATCCACAGGGTAGAATTAGTTCCTGAAAGGTTTTAATACATCTTGCTCTTGACCTGTCATGTGTCATTCTGTCTGATGAAAACCCTATAAATAGTTACAACTTGAGTTCCTGGAGCCTTCCTGCCCCTGCACACCCCTGGAAAGGGGAAAATACTCCAACAGAAAAATGAGATGTCAGAGAAAAGCAGATGGATGTTATTTGTGTGTGGCCATGGTCTTCTGCAAACACTGATACTTCTTCATTTTGGGTCTGAGGAACTCAAGAGCTATGCATCACTTGGTAGTTTTACAGACAGAACTGACAGGCTTTCCTGCAGTCCTGCACTGTTGAGGTCTGTAACAGAACAGCAGCTCGTGGGATGCTCTGTTGCTGCAGTGTAACGCTGCTGCAATCTCAGCCCTTACTTTGTGATATATGTCTGTGTGATTGATGGATTTAAATATGCCAACAGTGAAAATATTTGAAGTAACCTGGTAGCATTTGTGTAGGCAGAAGAGGTTTGGATCTTTTGTAATGAGAGAGAGCTTTACCCATTAATACAAAAATTTTCAAATATGGGGGATTATGGTTTTTCCCCCTTCCATAACGTTTTTACAACTCTCAAAAAAGGTGTAAGAACCATATATTGTGATGAATTCATAGATCGTTATTATTCATGGAAGGTCTCATTTGTGAAGCAGTTCTGCAGTATTTCTAATTCTGAGATTGTATTGAAGCATTTTTGGATGTGCAATAGATGAATAACTTTTTATGATGGATCTTACAATTTTCTACCTCTGGTGTGGCACCCTTTATTCTTACATATCAAATGACACATAATATACAAAGATAGTTCTTACCATGTAGCAGTTGAACCTTGACCTCACTACTAATGCAGCAAAATTTGCTTTTTGAAACAGATTTGGATTTTAGTCATGTCAGAGGATGTGTGCATACAACATATGGAATTCAAACATCCAGCTTGCACTCAGGCAAAGATCCCACTGATTTTGGTGGATCACATGTAGCCTGCAAAAATGAATGTGTAATCTTGGCTCAGTGCCTTCCTTGGCTGGCTGGTCAGCTGAGGAGCTGTGAAGCCTGCTCTATGATTTCTTGGCTTGGCCTGTGCATAATGGTTTCAGTTCCCAAAACTGCTCATCCAGTGGGGACCAAAAATGGATTGGGAGAGGGAGGAGATGCAAACCTATGTAAGATAAAGAGAATTAAGCTTAAAACACAGCTTTAGCCATTTGCTTTATATTGCATCCTTTTCTGTGATGAGTCAATGCAGAAGATTGACTCTGTCTTAGGAAGCTCTATCCCTCTCAGCTCTGGTGCTGGTGAAGGATTTACTTTAGTTCAGTTCATTTACTATGCAGTTTGGCCCTAGTAAGGCACAGGGTTCACGCTGCACCATCAGTCAAGGTCTGTGATGGAGGTGGACAGCTGGAGTATTGGTTGAAACTATGCACTACAGAGCCAGAAAGCATAAATCCTGCTTTTTGTAAAGTAGCTTTTGGTTTTGAAGGGGCTGGTTTAGATACCAAGATTCTTCAGAAAGTTAGCCAGTATCAAGCGCTTGCTCTTCAGAGAGCATGATTGATGCCCAACCACTTAAGAAGATCAAGCCTGTAAATCAGCAGCCAGAAGTTAAAGGTCACCTCTGGAGTGGGTGGGGAATATGTAAGCCCTTGCCATGTTTGTTCATCAGAGTCAGAAGACAACTGGAGCAGTTGCTTGTGTTTTCAGAGTAGTAATTGTACACTCTGCTTCCCCCTCATGGATTTAGTGATTTTATTTCTGACCATGGTTTTGTTTTGTAGCCCTCTGTCGCAGAATAAATCATCCCAATGCACAGCATCACCCCTTCCTGCACTGGGCCATGCTTGTCACAAAAGCAGGTCACTGATTACAAGTATAAGGGGAGGGGAGAGAAGGATCCAGAGGAACATGAGTAACCTCAGCAACAGTAGGGCAGTGACAAGAAAAAGCGTAACTATGGGAAACCAGAAAAGGAAGTAGGAAAGAGCACATACAAAAATTAGGAGCAAACTCAGCAGCAGGAAGAACAATAAGAAAGCGAGGATAAACAGGAGAGGGAAGAGGAGAAGCAGGAACAAGACAGAGTAAGAGAGAAGGGAGAGCATGGATCAAACAAGGAACAAGTGCACCTGAAATCTGAGCTCTAATTGCTATTACACCCAAAGTTCTCCAGGTTTAAGGTTAAAAGGTAAGTATATGAATAATTTGTCCAGTTGTGTCAGGAGAGGAGGGAGAGAAGAAGAGGAGCTGCGGTAGATTCTGTATCTTGAGTAGTCTCTACTTCTATCTTCTCTGCTCAAAAGCAGTCACAATATCCCTCTAAATTCAGCAGCACAGCAGATGGGGTCACAGCCCAAAGCAGCATCTATTTATTTTTTTTCTCTTTAACTTCAACCTTAAGGATTTCTCCTTCTCCTGCTCTGGGGGATGGAGACATACTAATGATCAGAGACTCTTTACTGGTTCCTCTGCGCATAACTGCAGGTTTGGGCTTAGCATCTGTATTTGGCTCTTCCTTTTGTGCAGGAGGGGCAGATGGGGCTGCAGGCTCCATGGGTTTCTTCTCATTTTGTTCAGGCGTGTTCTCTGCTTCAGCTTGAGTTTCCTAGAAACGAGAAGTTCAGTGTTTTCCAGTGCTGAAATTCAGGAATTAGTTCTGTTCTGTATATGCAGTGAAAAGGCACAGTGTGGATATTGTGAATATGGTGTGCAACATATGTAAATTTGTATTGAGGTGCTGAAAATCAGTATCTAAATTAAAAAATGCAATTTCAGAATACATAAAACCTATGAAAAGCTTGTTAATAGTGATACTATCTGCTCCTCATTAATATAGCAGGATGAAACAGACATGTTTGGGAGCACATAGCCCTTTCTTAGGTCTTGCCTTCCTTTATATGCTTACAGTAGTACAGAGGAGAAAGTGTTATGTAAATATTGACATACTGTCAGTTGCCCCAATTCCTTGGCCAAGCCGATTTGCTATTAATTTACAAATACACATTAAATTGAGCAATGTTTCTGTTCCAGTAATAGTGTTATAGTCATTTGTGTAAGCAAAGTTCTTTATTTAACTAAAAAAAATAAATAAAACCACAGCCAGTTCAGCTGTAAAGACAGAAGAGTGTTCTGCCACCTTTGGGTAAATATGTAGAACTGAGCAGGTTCTTACTAACATTTCTCATAACAAAGTATAATGTGGGAATTATTTTTCATCAACAAAACAGTTTTCTCCTAAGTGCAATGTATTAGGGATTTAATCAGTTTTAGCTGTGTGGCCTACACATTAGATTTTGTTTTCAGGATTTGTGACAACCAGAGATCTGACTATGTTGGGAAGTTCACTGTGCGCTCAAGTCAGCTGGATCAGATTACTGTGTTAGGATATTTCTGTATTTACTGTTGTTTCCATAAAATTGAATCAGATGCCCTTAGGGTCTTTGTCAAGTCTAATTTATCCTTACTTTCTTTGAGGATTTTTGTTTGCTTGCTTTTTTCCTTGCTTCTTTTTGCTCTGCATAGAGTCTGGATCCAGGAAGATTTGAGTCAAGCTTTAGAATAGTGTTCACAGAAATTAGGTACAGCAGTTGTATCTCAGCTACTGGGAATTTTTGCTGTTGATTGCATTAAGGCTGCATTTTCACCTACTCTGTTTGCCCAAGCCCTCCCAGTATCTTGCAGCACCTGGAGGAGCCTACATTCTTTTCTGTGGTGTTACCTGAATGTCCTGTTGTCTCTTCAGCTGTAGCAGCTTCACAAGGCCATCTTTCCCTTTGCCTCCAAGCATTGCCTTAAACAATTTTGGAGTTTCCTGTTTCTGCCCAAAGAGACTGGCCAAGCCCCGTGGTTGTTGCACTGGTGGTCCTGCGGCAGGTTTCCCCTTCTCCTTCAGCAGCACCCTGGAAAAAGGAAGAAATGAGAACACACAGCAGTGCTGTGAAACCAAGCAAAGCTCTTACAGAGCTAAAGTGTTGTTCATGGATGAAAATCTGGCAATAACTTTTGTTTTCAGGTCCAGTGGCAAGAGCAAAGCTGGAAAAGTTAAAGGTTTTACCCAAGGCCCTTGTAGAGTCAGAGGCTACTGTTCAGATTTGAAGTTGCTTACCTATACCCTGGAGAATAAGTGCAGGTGTCAGATTAAGGTGTTGCAAAGCAGGTGAGAGTTTTATAGGGTGAGAAGTAGTGTGGAGGAAGACAAATGCATCATGTCTGAGGGGCTAGTCTCTTAACCTGGCCTTCTGGGTGCAAATTCAGAGCATATTTAGTGATCAACTGAGAGTCCAGCTGATGCTTGTGAGAGTAATAGTTTACCAAACTAACTTCCAGCATGGCCTTATCTCTCACAGATCAGTTTAGACAGTGGTATGTATTTTTGGTCTTCTTCAGTAGAAGAAGACACCCTGAAGATACAAAAATTACTGCCAATAAAGTGGCAGACTAGATTTTCAGACCTTCTGTAGCTGTACCGATTTGCAGCCATAACAAGAAGTGTGAAAAAGTGACAAGGGTAAAGATTGGATGACAGTTCCAAGGTAAATGGAGCCAGTGAAAAGCAGGCGGTTCCCATACTTCCAGTTTCCATTAGGTTACTATACAGTTTCTAAGGCAACTTTTCTATCCTTGCAAAAGCCCTGACTTAAAGCTTTTTATGAACAAGGACTATACTTGCAGTCTGAAGTACAGTAAATCCCATAATACTGTAATTTTCCCCAGCATCTTGTACTCTCTAAATTTGGGAATTCCAGAAGCGAAGACTTTATTCTTTTTACTGTCATCAATTCAAAAGTACACTTCTGCAGCTTGCATGAGTTTATCATGAATATACCATACATTGACTGTCAGGCACGTGATAGTAGAACTAATTTCTTACTTGAATTAATCCTTTGCATTTGTTTCAAGGAGCCTTTAAAGGTGAGAGAGCTCTGATGTAAACCTTCCAGGGCAGAGCAACTGATAACCTGATTCCAAAACTGAACATAACTGCAATTTTTATCAAAACAGTGCACAAATCTCCTGTTGGTGCTTCGTTTTTCTAGAGACATTGCTGGCCACACAAAGAGCATGGGACATTTGGAAAAACTGCTGGGTGAGCAGAATACATCGCCTCCAGCACAGGGCAGGTACTGCGTATCCTTAAAATTAAACAGGATGTCCTGCATCTAGTCTAATATCTAGAGAGGGTGAGAGCTCAAATGGGAGTGAAGATACAAAGGATGGATGATTAAGCTCCTGCAGTTGAGAAAGGCTGTCTGGAGGAAGCAGTATTCAGTGGTTTGGCAAGATATGATTAGGGTGGGCAAGAAAGAAGGTGGCAGTGTGGGACAGAGACAGGGAGAACAAGTAATGATGGTTGTACAACTGTTTAGAAAGACACTGGAGAAAAGTCAGGAAGGATATCCCTCATTTTAGTGGTTTAGTGGTGGTCTTGGCAGTCCTGGGTAATGGTTGGACTTGACGATTTTAAAGGTCTTTTCCAACCTAGCTCATTCTACAATTCTATGATAAATGCAGGGGACCATCGGTCAGTGGATTTGTTCCACCTTTCTACCTGTTGATGCTGGTTTTGAAAACTGGGCAATGAGTTCATTCTGTGTCTCTGTTCCCTGTTCCGAAGGGACGTGATGATTCTCAAGATACTGTCATTTGACAACCAGGGCTGTTGAAACATGCTGAATGCAACCATCTGCTAGCACTTACACTAACCAAAATGTCACTTGCGTGCTATGTTTAGTCTGTTGTGGTGGAATTTCAAATCTGGGAAAAACCTTTCCACCTTTGATAGCAGGGCAAGGCAGCAGCTGAGAGCAACAAGTGCTGAAGTATACTAATAATGACAAAATATTTCAAGTATCTGGACCTTTTGCAAGGTAGCAAGTTACTAGCTTTGTCATAATTTTGTGACAAAATATGACAATATTTTGCTCTTTCAAAGCTGGGGAAGTAGTGATCCTAGCAAGCTACAACCAAAGCAAGATGAAAAGCAATTTGGGTTTGAAATCCCATTTCAGAATCCTTTTGAACAAAATGGACATTTCTCCAATCTGTGTACTTTTATCTTGTTGGGCATTACTTTAAATCTGTTCCTAAAGTGAGAGGTAATAAAGGGTTAATGAAATTTTGTTTCGCCAAGCATATGTGGCCTGCACAAGGTAAAGGCTTATCAGACATGACCATCCTGTAATGTAACACCAGTGAAAGAAACTGAAAGAACTAACACCCACAGAACTGGTCAGAACTGGCTCAAGACCTAGGGTGGAAAGTTCACCTTAGAGGAAGACGTCTTACTTCATCCCTAAAGACCCCCGAGATGACCACCAGGAGGCAGAGAGCATGCACCAAAAGGAGGAGACTAGGGTGGACTTATGGAAATCCTTTTGGAGAAGCAATTGTAATAATTCCTCCGTGTTCTCGGGGTAACCATGAATATGTGTTCGGCTGATGCAATATGGAATGGATAAAAAGCTTGTGTATGATAATGGTGTACCTCTGGCTATGGCCATGCGCGCAGCGCTGTTTTCTTTGATCCATTGACTTTGTTCCTAATAATTTCAGAAGTGAGCACGTTTCTCACACTAACTACTGCTTGAGGTTTTGTAAATGAATACAAATCTGGGTGCATTGAAGCATATCTCTATGGAACTAATTCTGAGTGTCCATTTGCATCTTTGAAAACCTGCTCCTTAACTTGACGTCTGTCCTGCAGTTTGTTTCTTGACTATGTAAGGAATCCTAATATACATCTGTATCTCCTATTTGTTTTGTTACGTTAAATACAAAGAAGAAGGCAGCTACGGTCAAGACTTCATTCTTCTTACCATATTTCCACAACCCTTGGAATCCCTGCCAAGAGCATGACTTCCACTAGATACAGCCAGGCAAACCTGACTTCTAAATACAAATGTGTTTACATCTGTTACTCTTCCAAGAAAGGAGTGCAAATCTGTCTAGGAGCCACAGCTATCCATTCTGCAATGAAATAATGTGATTTAAAAACTGTTACTAGGACATACTTTGCTTTCTTCATGAGAAGTTTTTCTGAGTCAGGATAGTGCACCAAGATTTCATTGAGTGTTTTCTTGTCCAGAATGAAAAGGTTGGCAAAACCATGAGCCACAACGTTGGCAGTCCTTCGATTTCCTCCACCTGCAGCTAATAGACTGGAATGAAAATAAACATCATCAGTCACATTGTTACTTGTCCTAGTGAGGAATTTTTTTGCTGATGGTTCTCCATTAAAGTAATCCTAAAGCATGTACCCAATTGTTCTATCTGATGCTCTTTAATATGGGGAGTGAAGGTGATAAGATTTGCATGAAAAAGAGTTTGGCAATGAGCTCTGAGGCCTTGGTGTTTTGACAAGCCCTTTGGTGATGAGTTGGAATGTTAAAGGACAGAGAAGGTAAACAAAGCAAGCCTTGGGAGGATGGGCCGGGATGTAGTTCTGGTGGGAATCTTGGTTGTAGGCCAGAGGATGTGGGGGTTGTGAGAGGGTCTGCAACGTTGTGATTGGACTATTTACCTGGAGAGTTTCACAGTGGCCAATGAGATTGAACGTTGTATGTATGTGCAGCTTGGGAAAGTACCGAACAAGGGGATAAAAAGGGCTTGGTTATAATAAGTGAGGATTTGAGTCTCTGCATTAACTTGATTCTGTGTTGTGATATGCCACTCTTTAAAGGCACTTTGCAGTTGGGATTAGAAATATTTTGCCTCAGGAAGGCAAACTGTCACTGCTGGTCAGGCATATGTAGATGTTAAGGGCTGTGAAAATTCTTTCTAGATAGATTTCTCCCAAGAGACACTCACTGAAGGGACTACATTTGTTTCAGTCCTCGTGAACTTGGCATTTCCTCAATTTTATTGTTGAAATTTGTTTATATCAGAAGTAGAGCAGCACAAATCCCTTATTAATGAAAGGGTTATTTGCAATGAATTAATGATTCTCTGGGATTTTGATTTTCTTGAGTGAATAACTTATATGGGACTCTGGTTTTCAGTTTTCTCACATTCAATTTCTCATGTTTTAATGTTGGCAAGTTGAATTGTATGGATTAGGAAGGTCTTTCAGGCTGACAGTGACAAATGTGTCTGCCAGAAAAACAAGGCTATTTTGTTTTGAAAGTAAGGCATTAGACCAGTTTAGGGAGCAGCTGTTGGCCATAGGAAGGTTATCCACATAAAAATTAGGTGTTTTACAAATAAGAATTAAATTGTTCATCTTGCAGAAATGAAGAGATTTCACTTCTCAGCTGTGGCGATAAGTAAGAGAATTCACATTTTCCTGAAAGTACTAAAATTGCTTTACCACTATATTCAAGGAGATCTAACCCAAATTTTCCCAGTGAGTTAATATTTTTAAAGAATACTTAATAATCCCTACATTTAAAATTTATTAATAAAGGATGATCTGGAACCCATAAGGCATCCATTAGTTGTTACCTAATTTTAATCCAGGATACAAAATTAATTTTGATATTACATATATTTATAGGACACATTTATAAATATTGGATTATACTGATAATATATTTGATTTATGATAATATAAGACTTCTGAAATTTTTACATATACATGCAGAATGCTTTTCTGCAAACCAAGACAGCAATAAATACATGAACTCAAGCTGAAAATGCAGTCTTCTCTTTAAACAATTCTTTACAATCCCTCAGACAGAATAAAACTATTTGCACAATAAGAAAAGCAACTAAAGAAAATTGCAAACAGCTTTTGGGTTCTGATTAATCACTTCTCAACAAGTCATTGAGCAATCATTTTCAGGCTTTCCTAACACAAAGCTCATTTTATGGAGCAGACTAGGACTAAAGAAATCAGCTTTTTCATTATGGTGGTGATGTGAGGTGAATTTTACAAGTAAAGCAGTCCTTCGCTCAAACAAAATCGCCTTTGACTAAAGACAGTGTTACAGGTTTCATCATTGAATCTGTTTTGGTTAGCGTGCTGGTACCTCATAGACCAAATTTTATAAAACCCCTACATTTGCCTTGCAATAGTTCTTGATAATGTAAGATATATATTAACAAAGTATTTTTCCTTTTTAACCTTATATATTTTACTCCAATTGTTAGCCTGAAAAGCTCTAATATTAGTATGAGATGATAACTTTTGAATTTTTATGCTAGCAAATTTAATCTCATAGAATCATAGAATAGTTCAGGTTGGAAGGAACCTTAAAGATCATCTGGTTCCAACCCCCCTCCCATGGGCAGGGACACCTTCCACTAGACCAGGTTGCTCAAAGTCCCATCCTGGCCTTGAACACTGCTGGGGATGGGGCAACCTGTGCCATGGTCTCACCACCCTCACAAGTCACATAAAGAATTTCTTCCTAATGTCTAATCTAAATCTCCCCTGTCAGTTTAAAGCCATTCCCCTGGTCCTGTCACAACAGGCCCTTGTAAAAAGTCCCTCTCCAGATTTCTTGCAGGTCCCTGTCAGGTACTGGAAGGTACTACCATAAGGCCTTCCTGGAGTCTTCTGCAGGCTGAACAAACACAACTCTGCCAGTCTCCACAGGACAGGCGCTGCAGCCCTCTGGTTACAGAATCACAGAATCACAGAATCCCAAGGGTTGGAAGGGACCTCAAGAGATCATCTGATCCAACCCCCCTGCAAGAGCAGGGTAACCTAGAGTACATCACACAGGAACTTGTCCAGGTGGGCCTTGAATATCTCCAATGTGGGAGACTCCACAACCCCCCTGGGCAACCTGTTCCAGTGCTCTGTCACTCTCACAGTAAAGAAGTTCTTCCTGATGTTAACGTGGAACCTTCTATGCTCCAGTTTACACCCATTGCCCCTTGTCCTATCACTGGATATCACTGAAAAAAGCCTAGCTCCATCATCCTGACACCCACCCGTTACATATTTGTAAACACTGATGAGGTCACCCCTCAGTCTTCTCCAAGCTGAAGAGACCCATCTCCTTCAGTCTCTTCTCATAAGGGAGGTGTTCCACTCCCTTAATCATCTTTGTGGCTCTGCGCTGGACTCTTTCAAGCAGTTCCCTGTCCTTCTTGAACTGAGGGGCCCAGAACTGGACGCAATATTCCAGATGTGGCCTAACCAAGGCAGAATAGAGGGGGAGGAGAACCTCTCTTGACCTACTAACCACACACTTTCTAATGCACCCCAGGATGCCATTTGCCTTCTTGGCCACAAGGGCACATTGCTGGCTCATGGTCATCCTCCTATCCACCAGGACCCCCAGGTCCCTTTCCCCTTTGCTACTTTCCAGCAGGTCAGTCCCCAGCCTGTACTGGTACATGGGGTTGTTCTTCCCCAGATGCAAGACTCTACACTTGCCCTTGTTGAATTTAATCAGATTTCTCCCCGCCCAACTCTCCAGCCTGTCCAGGTCTCGCTGAATGGCAGCACAGCCTTCTGGTGTGTCAGCCGTTCCTCCCAGTTTAGTGTCATCAGCGAACTTGCTGAGAGTACACTCGGTTCCCTCATCCAGGTCGTTGATGAAAATATTAAACAGCACTGTTCCCAGCACTGACCCCTGAGGGACTCCACTAGTCACAGACCTCCAGCTAGATTCTGCCCCATTGACCACAACTCTCTGCCTTCTTCCTTCCAACCAGTTCTTGATCCACCTCACTACCTGATTGTCAAGCCCACACTTCCTTAGCTTATCTATGAGAATGCTGTGGGAGACAGTATCAAATGCCTTACTGAAATCAAGAAAAAACACATCTACTGCTCTACCATCATCCCTCCACCTAGTCACTTCCTCATAGAAGGCTATAAGGTTGGTCAAACATGACTTCCCCCTCATAAAACCATGTTGGCTGTTCTTAATAACCCCCCTCATCCTTGATATGCCTAGAAATGGAGTCAAGAATAAGTTGTTCCATCACCTTTCCAGGGATGGAGGTAAGGCTGACCGGTCTATAATTACCCGGGTCCTCCTTCTTGCCCTTCTTATAGACTGGTGTGACATTTGCCATCCTCCAGTCCTCAGGCACCTCTCCCGTTTCCCACGACTTACCAAAGATGATGGAGAGTGGCCTAGCAATGACCTCCGCCAGCTCCCTCAGCACCCATGGGTGCATTCCATCCGGACCCATCGATTTATAGATGTCCAGACTGCATAGCTGGTCCCTAACCCAATCCTCATCTACCAAAGCAAACTCCTCCTTTGTCCTGACTCCTTCTGGGGCAATAGGAATCTGGGGCCCCTGGGGAGAGTCTGCAGGAGTAAAGACAGAGGCAAAGAAGGCATTCAGCACCTTTGCCTTCTTTATATCCTCTGTCTCCAGGGCACCCACCTCGTTCAGCAGTGGGCCTATATTGCCTCTTGTGTTAGTTTTATTTGTTATGCATTTGAAGAATCCCTTTCTATTGTCCTTAACCCGACTAGCAAGATTAAGACCCAAGGAGGCCTTAGCTGTCCTAATTGCCTCCCTACATCCTCTAGCAACTGTCCTATATTCATCCCAAGTGGCCAGCCCCTCTTTCCATAATCCATAGATTCTCCTTTTCCACTTGAGTTTGCCCAGCAGCTCCTTGTTTAACCACGCTGGTCTCCTAGCTCCCTTACTTGATTTCCTGACCATTGAGACGCTCAGATCCTGAGCTTGGAAGAAGCGGTCCTTGAATGTTGACCAACTATCTTGAGCCCCTCTACCGCCTAGTACCCTTTCCCACGAGACTTCTCTTAGCAGTTGATTGAACAGGCCAAAGTTGGCCCTTCAGAAATCCAGAATTGTGGCCTTGCTAGGTATTCTATTCCTCCCACACAGGATCCTAAACTCCACCATCTCATGGTCACTGCAGCCAAGGCTGCCACTGATCACCACCCCTTCAACCAAACCCTCCTTGTTGGTGAGTACTGAATCTAGCAGTGCTCCTCTCCTAGTTGGTTTGTCCACCATTTGCATTAAGAAGTTATCATCAATGCACTGGAGGAACCTCCTAGACTGTGAATGATTGGCTGTGTGAGTCTTCCAGCAAGATTGTCTCTTAGGTATAAAGTTGTCAAAGAGACAAAGTGTTGAGTCAGCTTACCTAACTTAAAAAAAAAAAAAAGAAAAAAAAGCCAAAGATGAGAGAGCTTCCTATAAAAAAATAAACATATAGCGGAGAAAAGTTTTAATTTTTCCAGAATTACCATTTTCTGATAGGAAGTATTCCTAGTAAAATATCTGTGAATGGATGAATGAGGACATCTGGTTTAAAGTGTATATTTCTCTGTGCTAATAAAGTGTTGTATTATAGCTGAATTTCTCCCCTTCTCAATTGTCTGTGCAGACAGGCTCTCATTAAGGCAGCAATCTGTTTGCCTCTGATTTTGAGATTAGTTTGCTTTCCCAAACTGGTATTATCTATACGGGAAAGAAGTAATGAGGGTAAAATGTTATTTGGAAGGCAACTCCTATTACTTGATCTGTTTCTGTAAAAATTTCCAAGGATGAAATTGGCAAAGGACATTTTTGACCACTAGTCTTGCATTGGCCTTCTAGTATAATTCAGGGATTTTTTTTTGAAGTAAACATGTTTTGTTTTCTTCAAGTCCTTTGCCCTCAGGGACTTTTTATGCATCATTTACATGCATTTTGAACAGAGTGAGATTAGCTAGCAAGTGTCTTATAAATCATGTACTTAAACCCCTCAGAATGAAGCTGACAAATCTTGAATCAGAAATCAGAAGGAAATCAGTCTGATATCAGGTGATAGCCATATTGTGAATACTGACAAGAAAACTTGGATGTGTTAAATGAAGCAGTATTTCCTCCATGAAAGAATATTTTTTTTCATTTGCTTTTGCTACACAATATTCGGAAGACCTTGACAAAACTTATACAGAAAGGTTGTATACAAACTCATTATTTTCTAACACTTTGCCACGAGGAAGAAGAGAAATCTCTACCAACAAACTTAGCACTTCATGTCTTTGATTTTCTTCAATTTTGGAGATGTCTGCCACTTTTCTCCTTGAGTTTGTCCTCTACCTGACATTTAGATGCAAATTACGTGTCTCAATGGGTATGCTGCCACAGTAGGTCAATGATGAGTAAAACAAGACTAAAAGTGTAGAGTTATAGCATTGCTGAGGGTTTTAATGGCCATATTGGCAGTTGTGTGAAGAGTAACGCATACTGCAAAATTAATCTTTTAAAGGCTGTAATGTAATTCTCAGGTGCTCACCTGTATTAGATCAAAAGATTGCAAATCCCTTCCTTGTTTTAAAACCAGTCATTATAATGTCTCAGTTAAAAAAATAAAGCCCTTGCTCCAAATACAATACTAATAAATGATCGAAAACTGTGTGTGTTACACATTTGGGCTGCTGTAGCCTTTTCTTTTATCCTTTCATTATTCAGCCTGTACCAAACACCAGTGCATTCTCAGCCTTTCCACATAACTTATAATACAGCATTTTGGTTTGAATCTTTGCTCAGGTATTATATTGTCACACAGAAATACCTTTCAAATACCCTTCTCTCAAATGGCTGATATAATTTTACTTTCCCACTCAATGAAAAAGGTCTGTATCTGTGGGATATATCAGGTTTTTTCCACTTGAGGTCTAAGCAAGTTCTGTACACACATCCCTGGATAAATGCATGTCCCTGGACTGTTTCTGCTATTACAAAGGGAGACACAAGTAGAAGATAAATGTTAACCTGGCACAGAGCTGATACCTCTTTTCAAAAGGCAGATTGAAGCTACCAGCAAGAGGATTAACAATAACAGAAAGGCAGATGGAAGAAATCAAGGATCCAGATTATCACATACAGCAGCACATGTATTTTATTAGTTATCCTCAGGCCAACCTCAGCAGGGGATGTAGTACCTAAAATCTAGCAGTTGTTTGGTTAATTGGGGAACATGGCACGTAAGAGTTAATGGATTTTGCATAGCAACCACATGGAGAATATAAAAACCATTTGGAGCTATCAAAGAATAATTTTATCCTCTAGAAAACTCAAACTCCAAAATCTGATATGTCAGCCTTTTTCTTGTTTTGAATGTTCTTAAACAAATACATTTTCAGATATGGATTCCTGATTTTTGGCAACTGGATCCCTACTTCAGATCTTAAATGAACTAGTTTTATTTACTATTTTAGATTATTTATCTCCTTTGTTGGAAATTAATTATCATTTTTACCATATGCTGTGTAAGGGCAATTAGTCTTTCTCTACAGGCAATAAAATGCATTTGGTCCTGCATATTGCAGACCTTGGAACAGGAAGATGTGTTACATCTTTTAAATGCTGAAGGAGAAATTTATCTATATATCCCTGTGTACATTGCCGAAAACTCTGGTCTAAGATCTTGCCAGATTAGTCTGTGATGCTTTACTTAGATTTTCTTTTACTTACCTGCATCTACTTGCTCAGTGTCCTCTTGGTTGATCCTACCCACTTTCTAGCCTCCCTGTGGTAGCTGTCATGCTTACCATGAAAGTAAACAGGAAGTTGAACAACCATTTATTATTTGACCAATTCGAAAGAAAGTGTTAAAAAGAGTGGTTGACCTACCTGATCTCCCCAAATACAGCTCCTGCTCTTAGTGTAACCAGGACTTTTGTACCATCAGGGCCTCCAAGGACTTGAACTTCACCCTGTTTGATGATGTACATCTCTCTGCCAATCTCTCCCTGAGCACACAAACAAGAAAGATCCCTTGTTTTGGCAGGGCTGAGTTTTGGGTGGGGTTTTTTTTTTTTTTATTAGAAGAATCAGTCAGATTCTTTAAATATGTTTTTCAACTCTCTCATAAACAAGTTTACTGCTATCACTGAACACAAATGCAAGCACTGACTTTGGCAGCTCTAATTGTGATATGGGTCAATATTTGAACAGAAGTAAGACCATTTAGGCCATCTTGGAAAAGAAATGATAATCAGGATTGTAGCAATCATATGCACCAACTGTTCTGGTCAAAACTAAAGTACAGCAGCAGTGTATTTAATAGTTGAGAAGTTCAAAAAAGCCTCTGCTTCATGGTCTAAAAGCTTCAGTTTTTACACTATTACTTCTACTCATCACTTGCCTAATATAAAAGGAAAATAAGAATAAACAGCCACTAAAATTATGTGAGCTTTTGTGTAATCACTGGATGATTGAAGAGATTATTTTTTTATTTATTATCCTTCACATGATCTACTAGGTTGTGACATCAGTGCATACAATATAAAGCAGGTAAACTGGAGCAATATAATGAACTTCGCAAACATGATTGTATCGGTCCTAACAACATTTCAGTAAGGCAGACGAATAACTATTTTACCACTCATGCAGCTGGAGTAAATGAGGCAAAGAAGCAGTTTAATTTTATAAGTGAAAAGGGAACAGTGACAAAGCTAGGATGAAATGCAACGCTTGCACTTCCTTCCTAGGAGCACTACTTGCTCCTCCCAGCCTTTTTGCATAGCCTTCTCAGTAAATTATGATGAGGCCAACATACATCAAAGGAGGAGGTTGTTCTAACAGGGCTTTTTTCCCTACTATGTGTTACGGCATTAATAGGATTGCTATGGTCGTTGGCCACATAGTAAATTTATACAGGTGAGAGGCATTTTAACTGAATCGAGCTGGAATTTCTTATAATCCATCCTTGTTGGAAACTGTTTTCATCTGACAGCAGTATCAAGACCTTGAATCTTTTACTGTCATTTATTATCTCTGTTCTGGCTGCAGTTTAAGATTCTTCCATGATGTGCATTGCACGGCAAACATACCAAACTACTCTTCCACCTTTCCTGGCTAACAGTAATTCTGGGATTGGTCTTTGAAGACATATACCTGATCCTTCAGTGTATGCACAACTGCGAAGTTGTTCCTACAACTCCTACAACAGAGTTCCTACACTGTGGAGTCAGTGGGACTAAGTATTTGGGAAGAGAATCATACGCTTAACTCTTGGAGGGAGCAAGACCTAGTGAGCATGATGGACCAGAACTTCTAAAGAGAGTAAGGGGTTCTGACTGTCACTTCTGGGTATGGTGTGAATTGTGGGTCACTTGCCAGAACAGTAAAAGTGCTGATACTTCATCCCCCTATGTTTTCATTACAACCTACCCTGACTAGGAGTATGATTATATTTCTTCAGAAAAGACACTTTGGCTCACTTGGTCAGAAGCTGAGCTATCTACCTCTGTTACTATAAGGTTGTGTTTGATAGAAGTCTTTGTGAAGGAACAGTGTGACAGCATTCAGCTGAAAGTCTGGATGGAGGTGGCTCTGAGCTGTGAATGAAGGTAGAGCGAAATCAGATCCTGCTGTAAGGAGTGGTATGTATGCAGTGTAATTTCTGCATTCTTGGATAATTCAACTTAAGTGTCAGAACACACAAATGAAGCACATGCAAAGCACCATAGATTGAGACCTGTAAGCTAGGTTTGTATGTATATATATAAGCAAAATAACCTTGATCCATTTTAATTATTAAAACTTCATGATGTATGATTAGATAAGCCTTATTTACATTAAATACTTTCCCATATTACTATATTTTTTGTTTGAGAGTGTAAGTTTTAAAATCTATATTGTCTTGTTCTAGGTTGAAATTTGAGAGCACATTTGTTATTATTACACAGAGAACCTTAATTACTTTTATGCTACCTAATTCACTTGGGGTAAATTGTATTTAAAGGAGACACTATTGACCAGTATCTGAAGTCTTTTTTGAAAATACATACTATGATTATTATTTGAAAGAGACAAGAATGCTCACCTTTTTGCAGACAAAGTCCCCAGGTAAATACACAATGGATTTCAACCTTAGCAGCATGTCATATATCATCTGGGTATCGCACCCCTGTTAAAACAGAATTGATTGCTCTAGTAATTCAGTAGTACAAGTGACTATTAGTGTCTACACTGGGCAGTGAAACCCAACAATACATGAGTGATCCAGAGATGCATAAGTGTAATACAAATTATAAGCATCATAAAGATCAGCTGTTAGAAGAGAGAAGACTGAAAAAAATGTCATTTTACATCTTACAAAGTTTTTTTTAGGTTGAAAATCTCATCTTTACAAAGTAAGCTTCTGTACATCTAAATTCACTGTGGAAGCTCAGTTAGTGCCATGTTCAGGGCTTTATGGATCTTTGATGTGAATTCTTTGTACAGATCCAGGGAAAAAAACCCAACAAATTATGTCAAATGGTATGAATCTATAAATTCCATGTCTTCAGCAAATGTGGCAAAACCCATGCAGCTACGTGATGTTTATACAGTGATATATGATTTTTTGTAATTATCTTAGCAAAGAAATTAGTGTTAAGGTTACGGTATATCAACTACTTCTAAACATGCAGTGTCTCCTTGTTTTCAGTGCCAGGAATCCAATCCTTAATACCAGATTTAACTTGTATCTCTGGAAAGCTACCATGATAATAAAGAGAAAGCTCCTTTGCAAAAAAGGTCACTAAAAAAGTATCATTCACTACATCAAAGTTATGTTGCCGGAACACACAGAATTTGTGTCTTTCAGGCAGACATAGGCAGCATACAGCAAAGTGGAGTGTATTAAAATTTCCATTCCTTATGTCTGACTCTCGAGATTAGTTATATTCTGAAATCACTTAAAGACTGACCATAACATCAGCTTTAGTATGTCAATGTAACAGCACTGTGTCTCATTTGCCTTTTTTTTTTTTTTTAATCTCTGCTTTCCAAAAAGCATTTCAAAGATACAAGAAAAGATACAAAAAACATTTCAAAGGCAGGCACTTGGCTTTGTGCTTACATGTCTCCATTAACTGAGATATGTCTTAGACCTATGTTGCCTTGCATATTAGCAAATTAACAAACACTCTTAAGGGTTGCAAGATACAAAAACCAAGTTTTCTGTCTCAGGGATACCACAGATTTCTGAATTATCCTGTAAAGCTACTTGCTTTGAATAAGTCAACTTTATTGACGATGGCAAAGTTCACATCAATTGCAATGGCTAATTGCATTTTGGATGGCATCTGCTCAAGTAATTCTGATTCATCTGTAGAAGAAAAAAAAAAAAGAGCAAACTCTATTAGTTAGAAAATATAAAGGATGAATGCCCATAAAAATGATCATCATACATAAAAATAATTTAATGGAGCTATTCTAGCATTTATAAGTGGAATATATGGATAATGTAAGTGGAATAAGTGGATATATGTGGAAGATGCTAATATGCTTTTACTAAGATATTGCGTTTTAAGTTACATATCTTGTCTAATGTTATAACCAGAACATTATACAAATGAAAGGACTTTGTGAAGTAGTAAGTATCGTACTGCTTTGGAGCTTTTTTCCTTTCTAAAGTAAGTTGAAGTCCTCTCACTTCTCACATGCAATTCAGAAAAGGAGAAATGTGAATTTCACCATACATCTGTATATATACCGCCACTTAGAGTTGTCACATAACTGTAATTGGAAAGCCTTACCCAGCATTCCCTGTGAAGCCCATGTGTATTCATACCAGGTTCGAACTCGATTTTGGACCAATTTTGGAATGGAGTAAGTGTTCATATAGGAGACAGTGTTGTCCATACAGGAGCGGTAGTAGTTCTGTCCTGCTGTGGCTGCTCCAATTACATCTCTCATCTGTAAACATCAGTTGTGGTTACTACATATTTCAGCAAAAATAGTTCTGATTTGAATATCTTGTCAACACATATAAAAAGAATAAAACACTTGTTTGCAAAATCACTTATTAATTATACCTTCAGCTACATGTTTGGCATAGGTGCTTAATCTGCTTTTTCAGAAGCATTACAGATTTAATCTGATTATGTTGGAAAGCCTGTAGTTATCTTTTAAATGAATCATTTGGGGGTTTATCTTATTCTGTCTCATATTTCTGGACATGGATGAAAACTAAAGATAATGTTTTTCTTAAAAATCCATCATAAAGCTACTCTGCATTTGGCATGCAATGCAAGTCAGAAGTGAAGCAAAGTAGGCTAAATTTCTCTAATAATTTAAGCTGGCACCACCAGAACCACTGTTCAAATAGGTAAGAGATCAGATCTAGGTGCACTTTGATCTAAATGTGACCTTGAAGTTTTTAGTGGAAGCATATCACTTAACATTCCAACACAAATAGAATTCAGCTTTTAAAAAGCAGGTAATTTAATGTTCGTAGATATTCCTTCTTCAAAAGCATCTTAGCAAAATGACTTCATATTGCAGTGGCCAAAGATTAGGGTACTGGTGGGGAAAATTCTTCTCTTTATTACAGAGATGCAATTGATTGCAATAGGAATATTAATTTTTAGGCAGGTGTGCTAAGCCAGGAATAACTCAGTAAAATTAAGAGCTTTTTGAAAATGGGAAAGTCAGTAAAGCAGTTTGTGTGTTAAGATTTAAGGTTTAAGTCTGCAAATGACTGTACTGGTTACAAAAACTAATCTGCAGAATCTTCTTGGGGAACGGTGGTTTCATTGAAAGTTATATCCATTTAGAAAAAAAAAATGCACCCTCTGAATTTTAATGCAATATACTTGTATTTAATAGTTTTCCAGAAGAAATATATTATACAAACTACTTTGTTTTATTTTTGGTAATTTTTATTTGTGAATGAATTTTAAATCCTATAGGCAAGAATCTGTTTCATGATGGTTATCTCTTCATGCACTTCTAAACAGCAAGACACAATTTTGAACTGTTTGATTGAACTTTTTGAATGCTATTTTAGTTTTCATCTCTATTTTTTTGCATAGTTTCAAGAATCATCAGTGTCCTGCACAGTCTTGGCCCTAAATCACCTTTTGTGCAAAAGAGCTACAAAACTGGGAACTGATTAAACACATGTATTTGTTGGAAGAATAAGTACAAATTACAGTTAAATAGAGGGACATTCAGATGAAAGCTAAAGTTTTTCCCAGAATTAAGTTTAATATACTATCACTACATTACAGTGATCTGAGCATATGTAGTTACTGATTTCTTGATGTACCTGACCAATTAAGCTGGAGAAGACAAAGACACCCAGGAAAAAATTCAGCAGTTGAAAAATTATCTCAAACAGAGTTTGTGGTTCTGGAAGGCCACCGATGGTGATTAAAGTACGAACTGCCCAGTAGTAACATCTCAGATACCTGTGGATACAGACAAAATTTTTTGTTACTGACTAGGTATATATGAGGTTGAAGTTAAGTAGGCACCTACCTGAGTTGAGCCTTCAGTGATGCTTCTTAGTCCAAATGACCTTCAGCATCTTTTATAAAGGGGTATGATTTTACAAATGATAGTTATATAAATGACACTGAACTGAATGTTCTCACTGCAGCAAAATAAGGTATATGGAAAATGCAGTAGCTACCTACTGTTCTCCAATAACTGTGCAGTATTACAGAAGTTTTCTGTAACATGTTGCCAATATGTACATTACAGTGTTAGAATGCTACCAGTGAACATGCCATCATGTTAAAGGCAGTGTAAAAGTGTTAAGAGACTTCCCATCTGTAGCATACTAGCTGCACACACAGCTGAAGGTCTTTTCCATGGCTTCACATGATGACACCAGTGTGAAGGCATAACAAATACACACATGTTTTTCTTGTGTCCATTAATTTTCTTACCCCTTTAATCACTTTGGTCTTCCTCCCCCTCTCCTCCTGAGCACCCTTCATAACCTCCTGGGTTACATCAAACAGAAGTTGTATGATTTTACAAACTGTGTTAATCCAGCTTCTCCAAACCACTCAATTTATTTTGGACTGAAAGGTTGACTCCTGCATTAACTTCTAGAGGCTGGCCTCTACTACCCATTCTGTCACCTTAACAAACATTTCTCGCTTTCTTCACTTTCATAGCAGGAAGCAATGGTCAGTCACTAAGACTCTGCTTCAATATGTGGCTTATATTGATTTCTTCATATTGGTCTGCTATCAGTTCCCATACCAGAAGTGTGAGCTTTCTGGACAAAGATTTTTTGTTCTGTTTGTACAACCCTCTTTGTACATTGTGCCTTGTGCATGACAGAGCTTGTTGCGTTCAAGTGGTGCTTTTCTATTTGTACGATAACACAAGTTTATGAAAACAACAAGCTTTTTTTTTTTTTTTTTTTAATTTTGCCAGGATAATCATACTAACTCTCTTTAAAAATAATATATATATATGTAAGTGCCTTGGCAACTCTAAAATTCTGTTTGAAATTTATTTCTAGAACATGGCACCACTAGCAATGCAGCATCCCCCATACTGTGCAGTGAAGATTAATTAGTTCAAATCGTTGTGAATGTGATATCATTTCCTTTTTTTTTCTGTTCTAACAAGTAATTGGTTTAGGAATACTTTTAAAAGCCTCCTATCAATTAGAATTTGACTTCCTAGGTCTCTGTACAATCAGACTTCAGCTTCACTAATGATTAGGAGTGGGAATTCATTTTTTTTAACTGTGCAATGAGAATTTCTATTATTTCATCTATGACTATTGCTGCTGAATCAATGAAGATTCCTTTTATTTGTTGAATTTTGTTGTTCAAAATACATAAAAAACCCACCCCGAAACAAAATCACAGAAGAAAAAATTTTGGCGATGTTTGCTTTTAAATAGACTGTCTTGCAAGCATCTTCTCATGCCTACCCTGAATCTGAAGCCACCCAATCTGCTTGCTTCAGGTGTACATTTTGACTTGGTGGTCCCCAGTTTTAAACTCTGCTGTTGTTAAGATACACACTCCACTCCTACTAACAAGTGGTCCATGTAACAATGCAATTGGAGGGTTAGTTTTGTGCAAACAGGGGAAAACCCCTCACAAACCTAACCAATTTCGATAAGGTTTTTTATTGAAATCACTCAGAAGTGTTCTCAAATCTTTAAAATGTCAGGCTTTAGCAAGCAATCAATTTTTGCTTTTCATTGCCAAATCACTTTTTTCTTGGTTGCAAATTAACGAAATGGGGTAACAATAATCACTTTTACAACAGTTTTCTAGTTTGAGATTCTAACAGCCAGAACTGTCTGTTTTCATTCAGAGTCCTTAAGTGAAAAATCTCATTCTGTCTGCTATCATATAATTTTTCCTTGTTAGGGGTGCAAAAAGAATAACTAGATTACACAACTATAATATTTTCACTTGGGTTTAAAAAAAAAACATCACCTGTGCATGCTTCCAGCCAAGTATGGATAAGTAGCAGCTTTCTCTTAGACTTCTGTAGCATAAATAAATAGTAAGAAAACTCCTCAGATCTGTTCTGGAAGAGTTGCAGATTTAAGCATAAAATGATTTCTCTAGCTTGTCTGAATTATCTTATAAAGCATACTTATATCATATTCATTTCCCATAACTGAGAATGCTATAGTGCTTGAAACATGTATAATTTATTAATATAAAAGTAAATAAATTAACATTACTTCTGTGCTAGTTACTGTAGGAAATAAAAGCAATTAACCATTTCCCTCACCCCCAATGGCCTTGGATGACAAACTTCCTAAATCCACCATGATAGTCAACCTAATCTTAATTTTGGGGATGTCTGCAAAGAATGAAAGCAGCTTCTCAAAGGAGTTTAGGGGTCACATTCTTGTTTGCAGTGTTGTATATCCAAGATGTGAGAGAGTTTTTTGGGTTGTTTTTTTTTCTCAAATCTGCTCACCCCTTTTTGAGGATGTACTTAATACAGCATATTCTTTTGTAATTTTAGTTCAAAAGACACTTTGTACCGTCAAAGTCACATGATATTCACTACCTCTTAGGCACAGGTTTTATATTTTCTTCATTTATGCATCTTATTATTTTTATTTAAATCTGAAAGTAAAGTTCCACAATTGAAATATAAAACAGATTTTATTTTGTTTCCCTAAGAAGGGGATAAATGAGACTGTAAAATTTGTTTAAGTAAAGTCAGAAATAACAGGCTCCTATTTCAACAGTATTAGCAGCTCTGCTTCCTACTAGCTGGTGTCTGGAAACCATCACTGCTCACCATATGGCTTACTGGCCTGCTATAAAATTACTGTTGAAGCAAACAACATGAAACAAGAAAGGGATTTTCCTTCTGCACAATGTAGCAAGTATGTTTATCCTTCAGGCAATCAAACTACTAGAATTTTCCCTAAAATAAGGCCTAGGTATGAAAACAGTCAAAGAAACCCAGCACAAGTAATATACCTTGTAATATTATGCCAGTAGAAATATCTCTTTCATAAAAGTCAATTTGAGAGTACACTAAATTTCTAACAAGGTTTTAGTTAATAGAGCAAATCAGATCTTTGTGAACATGGCTATTGGATTATAAAGTGGTATTAACACATTCATTTCAGCAGGGAAATGTTATTTCAGTGCTATCATGTTTGACTTCCCTCAGATTACTACCAGGGTAGGTTTAAGCAGGGTAAAGAAGTAGCCTTTATAAACTGGTACTCTAAATGTCTTCCTTCTCGGTACCTCTTTTTCTTGAATGACTTATCCACCAGATTGCTGTGAGAAAGTGATGATCTCAGACTGGATGATGTCAACTACAAAACTTTTATCTAAAAAGTATCCTACAAGTATCTGCTCTGAAAGCATTAGGTCTGACAGGGGTTGGGCTGTGCTTTCACAGATTTTCTGGAGGCACAAAACTGTCTCTGTATGGCAAAACAACAAGTGAGACACATCAGACCAGCAAGTGTGATGTATAGGTGATACCCATGAGCCACCTTTTAGGATATGTCAGTATTCCTGTGCTTTGGGCAAGGCGTACAAAACAAGTAGAGTTGTTCTAGACACGTATAATGAACATCTTCTGGGACTTCCAGGTATCTGCTAAGTCTGTCGCAAGAGCAGGAAGGAAATGAGCTACAGAGAAATATAATCAATGTATTGATTAATAAATATGCCAGAGAATTTTGAAGACTACTTGTGGATGTCTTGCAAGCAGCAGAAGAACTGTAACATGATCAGAACTGAGTGATTTGCTTTTCCAAAATTTAATGCTGACCTGGGGGGTTGGAATGAGAATTTCAGCTCCTTTAGCTTTGGTTTTCCTTATGCTCAGTGATGAAATGGACAATTCAGAACAATGACACGCACCTGCCTTGAACCCTTTCTAAAGGATTTGCTCATTTTCTTCAGGAATTAGGGAGATCAATCTCTTACATATAGCTCAAAATGATCACTTAGCTGTAATTAAGAGACCTTTCTAATACCTGCTTACATAGGCTTCCCACTATAGCGTTGCATCAGGGATGCTATCCTTCTGCATTAGGAGAGGCTGACATTTGTCTACCTGGTTATACCAAGCTCATGAGTGCAGTTTTAATGCTGGGAATATCTTGTGCTGCTAATTTCGATGAGTTGCAGGGGGGCAAACTTGACTCCTTTTTACACCTCAGCCAAAGGCTTTGATTGAAGGCTGCCATGCGAAAACCTCATATATTCTTGAAGTGGCACTAACACTTTAGAGTCTGAAACAAGCTGGAAAAGAATACAGCTAGCACAAATTTGCAAAAATAAGATACTTTAATATTTTGCTTGTGGCTTGGGTGCTGTGTACAGCTGTTAGTTGTAAATTGAAGTTCACCCATTAGTATGCCTGCTGAGGAGCATATAATCAAATTGATAAGGGAAACTGTTGTCTGTGTATTCTTTTTGGAATAAAAAGGAAAAAACAAAACAAAAGAAAACACAGAACAACCCAGAAGTGTTGTTTTCAAGAACTGGTTTCGGCCATAACTAACAGCATTTTATGGACACAGCAGGGATTCTACATAAAACGTTCATGCCACAAAATCAGTGCCAGATCATTTGCTTTGGGTGAGTGTAATTTGAGACCACTAGAATTTTGATTTATTTCTCAAACTGCTTGCTGTAATATTTTTAATTAGCTAAGAAACTAATTATTATTGTTTATAAAAATTTCTACTCTAAATCCCATGTGATTTCAGTGTGACATTTGAGAAATGTTTTGTGTTTTTGCCTCCCCACAGAAAAGGTACCACAAAAATACTAAAACCACTGACCATTGCCTCTGAGCACAACTGCATTATCTGTGATCAAGCTAGCAAATAAATTCTACCAGTTGTGTCCCTGAGTGAAATGCAAAAATTTCTTTCCTGTGGAAAGCAGGAAGACTTTCTTGCCTCTTCTCCAGGCTGTTCTAAAGAAGCATTAAAAACCTGAAGACTGAGTAAGCACTCTACTTTCAGAGTTTTGAGGTTGCTTAGCATTAAGTTACCTTATTTTTTTAATTATGAAACAAGCATTCCCAAGAATTACATTAAAAAAGAAATAGCTGTAACAGAAATTCATTCTACATTTTTCTTGTCAGATTTCTGGAAGCCTTGATCCTACAAATAAATGCCTGTGTATTAGCTTCAGTTACATAAGTGGTCCCACTGAGCTCCATTACCCTGCTTGCATGTCTGACTGCAGTACTCAAGCTGTGTATTTAGTGGTGTGTGGAAATTTCAGTCATGTCATTTTTTTGAGAGAGAACCCTATTAAAAAAAAAAATAAATAAAATCAATGCTGCTTTACACAAAGTGTGTTTTACTCTCAAAGGCTATTTCTTACCCTTCAAGATAGTGACTTCACACCAAACCCATGAAGTCTGACAAAATTGCAAGCAAGAGCAGCACGTCTCTAAGAGAAATGTGAAAAGTTGTTTAAAGGGTGATTTATGACAGCAGTAGTGTATTATACATAGCTTTTTAAAGAATGTAATTAATGAACGAATTGAGCTTCTATGGCTTTAACTGTATTATGGCCTTCAAAAGAAATAAACACTCATATATCTGAACTGGCTAGGTATGTGCTTATATAACTGCAAACAAAATACATTATGACTTCTCTATTTTCTCTTGCTTGCTCTCAATCATCTTAATGAATGTCCCTTACTTGGCATCCAGTTTAGTGCTGTCACAAGAAGTTTGTGAAAAAGTGTGCCAATATCCACTCCTTCCCACTGGAGACACTCTGCCACATGTTTAAGCATGACCTTCTCAAAAGATCAGAGAAAGCGGGTGTATTTTTTTCAGACTAATCACCATGGTATCCAGAGGGACTAAAACGTTGCATTTTAATGACACAATACTGGCAGAAAAAAAAATAATCTATGTCTCTGATTCCTTTGAGGGATTGTTCTACAATCCTCCTAACAGTTCCCATGTGCATATGCAATCAGAAAGTTTAATTTATGACCTTTCTAAATGTTTAATTATGTTAGAGCTTAGCAGTGACTCATAAATCTATAAAAGCTGAAAGTGGTAAACTGATTATTCACTGCACCTGCCCTCTAATATGTTTTAGCAATGAAAGCTGCTAATCAACATTCATGGTGCTAAAAGTTTGCTATCCAAGTACTTGAAAGTAAGGGCATACCCTGCAAGCAAAGGCATGGGAAGCTGAAGGGGATGCAGGAAGAAGCAAAACCAACAAAACTCTCTTGCAAGTGAAAACCACTTACATGTTTCCTTGGCCGTCGTACACCCATCTGGTGCTGCCAAGTCCTTCATAGTCTGAAGCCCAGTAATACAGGCATGCGTTAATGTGCAAGATAAACAGCAAGTATCCTGTTGTTCGAATGACCCTGTAAAAGTCAACAGATTCCTTTAAAACAGCTTACCTTTTTCCTTCCTTTTAATATGGCATTTTTGGATCAACAGTGTTTATGTTGACCATCCACTAAGTAGTTCCCTGCCTATATTGATTCTTTGAAAAAAAATAGCTGGCAGTTATGTTTCTCATGTTTGTCCAAGGTCAAATAAATATCGGCCTAAAGTATTTGACAAGGTAATTTTTAAATTATGGTTCCCTGAGGGCTTTATAATCCACTTCTTCAACTGGCTACAAATATTTACAGAAATCTGGAGCTATATTAATGAGGCTACAGGGTACAAATTAATTTATTCACCAAACTCTATTCAAGATAGGCTCTAAAACTGTGAACCAAAGCCAAGAAATGTCCAAGGTCAGAAATTAACTGCTTTACAAGGGCTGTGCTAGGAAGCCTGCAGTAGATACACTAAATAGCATGATCTAGTAGCTACAGCAGGAGTCAGGAATTTTACCATTCCTAATCCAAGTTTTTACGCCTATGGCAAGATCCTTGAAAAACATCAATGATGAGCTACTTAAGCACCAAGCAGCTTCCTGTTTAATACAATAATGATCTCATTGTATATCCTCTGATCAGTGCAAGGGGTCAAAAGACAGATTTCCTGGCTTTAGGTCTCTATTTGAATGCTGATACAGACAATGGATAAATAAGCAGAAAAAGTACAGGACTTGTTAAACACAGGAAAGCCAGTATATATTGAATTTATCTGCTATGATTTTATGAAAATTTAATAATAAGATCTAAGTTAGGTCTATAAAACAAGTTAATGAGAGATAATATGTCTGTGGCTGCTTCTGTATTATGTACTCCTTTGATGGCTCTTCAGATGTCGTTGCATGCCTTCCTTTACCTCTCCATGCCATTGAACAATCCACATATGTGTACTCTTCTTCTTTACAATGTTGACGAGCGGTGTGCTTCCAGGACAGCTGTGTTTAGGGTTGCAAGCTATTGAGAACAGCAGATAGCTGATGTGGCCTAGTAATATTGCAATATTGACCATGCTGGGTGTTGTGCACAGGTTCAAATCCACAAAAGTGGATTCCTGAGGTCTGAGTGAAGGTTCAGGGACCCTTTGTTACAATATATATTATATTTCTCTAGGCACAGTTGGATCTACTGCAATGGGTAGATAACACGTAGTAATTTTTGTTAGCTTTATTCCTCCAAACTTAGACTAATGAGTTTGAGGAAACGATCCACCTAGGCACATAGGCTTGCTGTGTAGTTTGGTTTGACATTGTCCAATTAATTGGTGCCTTATTACTCAAATGGTGACCACACCACGATCTCAGATCAAAACAACATTGCTACATTCAAATGAAATGTCATAGTTTGCACAGCCTGTAATTTTTTAAAATATTTCTATTTCCTATTTATCCTTTTCTTCTGTATAACTACCTCCCTTTGTCCTTTTTCTTTCCTTACAATAATGGCTTCTAGTAAGCCAATTAAAAGATCTTTGCCTTATGTTTTTACCAATGAACACCTCAAAAACAGGGACTCAGTGTTTTTTGAAGTATGTTTTAAAGCACTGAATGAGGGAACAGCATGACATACTTAATAGGTGATTTTGCAAACACAAAATGTAACATTTTGGTAGCTCAGTATGCAAGCTTTTATTTTTTTCCTTCCTACCACATACCTTAGCAATGCACTGGTGGGAAAGCCTATAGGTAATAAAGCATTAATACTATTAACCCTGTGTATGCTGTGCCATGTTGAAGTCCATGTGCTCTACCATAGTTTTTCTGAACATCTTCAGTGGGATTTAGAATTGCGTTTATGTAGTTATGAAGAGTGTTCTGCTTCACACATTTCAGGTTTCTGGCCTGTTAAGGCTATGAGGTAAAAAATGGATTCATTTTGTAGTATTTACATTCTGTAATTTACGTTCTGCAAAGGATTTAATATTGGAAAATGTAAGTGGGTGTCCTGGGTTCAGCAGTAGCAGTCATTTTTCTCCTTCTCAGTAGCTGGTTCAGTGCTGTGTTTTTTACTTTCAGCCTGGGAACAGTGCTGATAACACCCATGTTTTTAGTCCTTGCTAAGTAACTACTCTGATCAAGGACTTTTCAGTCTCATGCTCTGCCAGGGAGGAGGGCACCAGAAGCTGGGAGGAAGCAGAGACAGGACACCTGACCCAAACTATCCAAAGAGGTATTCCATACCACAGCACGTCATGCCCAGTATATAAACTGGGGAGAGTTAGCTGGAAGGCCCAGATCACTGCTTGGGTCAGGCTGGGTACTGGTTGGTGGGTGGTGAGCGGTTGTATTCTCTTCCCTTGTTATTTTCCCTGATCGTTATTATTATTGGTGGTAGCAGTAGTGGTTTATGTTATACCTTAGTTACTGGACTGTTCTTATCTCAACCTATGGGAGTTACATTCTTTCCATTCTCCACCCCATCCTTCTGGGAGCGGGTGTGGGGGGTAAAAGTGGGGAGTGAGAGAGCAGCTGCGTGGTTCTGAGTTATTGGCTGGGCTTAAATCACAACAGTGGGCCTGTGACCAGAAAGTGAAGACACAAGAAGCAGCACACAGTTGTGCCACTCATCTAATACCATGTTACAAAACCACTTTACAAGGCAGAACAGCTTTGCAGAATAGCTGGTTCTGTCTTTCCAGCTACTTCAGACATTTTAGAGAACCAGGGAGATATTGCTATGTGTCTCTTAGCCTTTCTAAATGTGAAAATTCCATTTTTTTTACATGCAAATCAATATTATACCCTTCAAATTTAGGCTAGTTTGAAGATATACACATCCCATTCTCACTTGCCTTTTAAACAAGCATTTCCCAAAACATACTTTTATATAATGTGAAACTCTGTCACTGCAAAATGCTTGTTCGGGTGAAATTGGGTTTGCTAATTTGTTTCTATTTCTTTGAAATCAATATACACACAACATTATTGTTAAATACAAAACTATCTATTTTAAAAATCTATATATTCCAGTGTTCACTGCAAATATTCTAGGAGATATAGGAAAGTCATTGAGTCCAAAGTAAAGGATGTAATATTGAAAATACTTGATTAATCTTAAAAACTCTCAACATTAGAAAAAAGTTAAAAAATATATGCAAGACAGATAAAAACCCATTCTTTTTCATGAAATAAAATTTGGGGAACAGAGGGAGGCAGCAGTATAGAAACTGACAAAAGACTTCTTCATCCTGTGGGGATTCAGAGAAGCTTTCTCTTGTACCAGCAAGAACTAAAAAAAAAAAGAAAAAAGAAATAAAACCAAACCCAAACAACTCTGAAAGAGTCAAAAGGCTCTTCAATAAGTGAGAGAGCAACAGAAGAATAAGCTTTGTGGAGGTGAGCATCTCACAAATACTTTAGCAGAACTTTCAGACTTCTGAGTTTTGATTTCTTTTGCAAGTACGTGAAGATGTGGCAGTTATGATGTTTCAGCCTTCTTTTCAAGTTTAACTGGCTTCTAAATCTCATCAAATATCTCATTTATAAGGTATAAATGCAAAGTTTACAATATAAGTGCAATCTCTGAAATAGAATAAGGTGGTAAACAACAGATCTTTATTTCTGCAGCAGCAGCAGCACCCAAGAGCAATTACATACCCAAAAATAGGCCAGGGAAAAAAAAAAAAAATCTGTCAGTTTAGGAATTGCATTGGAGTCTCCTTCTCTGGAGACATTCAAAACCCACCTGGACACATTCCTGTGTAAACTTATCTAGGTGTTCCTGCTCCAGCAGGGAGATTGGACTAGATGATCTTTTGAGGTCCCTTCCAATCTCTAGCATACTGTGATACTGCATAAAATAAACTAGGACTGATGATGTTGACAGTCAGTGACAATAACGGTAACAGTAGATTGGTTCACTGGGATTTAGCAGCATCACTGACAGTTAAGAGGCCTGTGAAACTTGCCATAACCATGACCACGAGCTGCTTGAATTGGATCCAAAACTCTTCCTGCCAATGCAGAAGGTGAGAACATAGTGCAGTGGGCAACAGTTATAATCACTATCTGAGATCTGTGCTGAGTTGATTCTCATTCCAAGTTTAGAAAAAGCAGTGGAGGATCAAGTTTCTGTATATGCCAGGTTCATGGTGAAAGCATATTTGAAGAAAAATATTGACACAGTCTCAAGCTCATAACTCCTACTGAATACAAATAAACAGGTACTGAGGATTTGGAACTGCTATTAGAAACCTAAAGAAACTGTTCTTCAGCTCTTTCACTGAAGAAACTTCTTTCTGGTGCTTCTGATTAGTTAAATTTTAGCGGGATCCTGATGCTGCTGAAGATTTTGCCTGAACCAGGCCAGCTGTACTGAGTTAGTTTTGACATGTGAGTGAAGCTTTACATTTATTATTTAAACAATTACAATAAAGACAGATGTTTTAAAAGATTTTAACTTGAACTGTTAAAGGCTTCACTGACAACTTGTGAAATCAAATGAGATATATTCTGTGCCAAGCTTTGCATGCTACAAGAGTTTAATCAGCACATACCTGTAGATGTATGCTTTGTCCAGAACAGCTTCCAAACGATCATTAAACTCAAAGAATGTGTTATGCTGAATGGAAAATGAAAGTAATCCAATCACTATTCTTAACTACATGTGTTTTTATAGTACTACTGATATTAGTTCACATGCACATTTTGAAAATGATGGATTTTTCAGCAGTTGGACTTAAATATTTAAATAAAAGTTTAACTGCAAAACAAAGATAAAAATTGAGTTAAACTTTGTTTTGGGTGTTGAGAGAAATAATCTGCTGTATAGGTCAGACTGCTGCAGATGAATGACTTCTTCCACAAATATATAAAACTGCTTGGGCAACTATGTCTGAGAGAATTACACTCACAAGAACCCCTTTTTCTCTTTCTGAAATTCTAATAGTTCTTCAGCAGGTGATCTTATGTAACAACAACTGCATACTAGATGATACTATGTAAAATCAATTGCTCCTGTATTGAATTCTTCCTGTTAATTATTTGCCATTAATATTTGCATGTAGCTTTTTTCTTTGTTTTTGTTCAGTACATGACTGTATGCCTGAGATGCTATTTAATTTTTCAGTCTTTCGCATCTTTTGGTTCTGATTTATGTAATTATGATTATGTAATTTTAAGTTTTATTGAAAACTGAAGTGAAGAGCACCCTCATTTTATACTTAGATTTGTGGTGTTACACCCCAACTTTAAATAAAAGCCAGTTCTTTGTCAACATATTGATTGTGTGAAGGGGGTGTATTTAGTAGCAGAGCAGCCTGCTAGGTACTGTGAAATGCAGGTAGAGGTCTGTTGTCTAATCCCTTCTCAATCCCTTCATTCAACAACTCCAGATGTCTTTGAACTCAAAGTTCAAAGTGGGTTTATGCTTGTTAAATATGCTGTGTATAGTTTACTTTGCCCTTAAAATTCCCCCCTTTGCTTTTAAATGCCTGACATTACCAACAAAAGGTGAAAGTACATTGGCATCAATCAATGATCTTAAACTGTTTTCTTTTATCTTTGAAAACTAAACAGGTAATTTAAGATTAATCTAATTAAAATAATGTAAATGAAGAAGCTTTAAGCAGAAAACACATTTTGAAAGTAGGAAATAATAGAAGAAAATTAAGAGAATAAGGTCTTTATCAGCTAGACTGTATCTTGTATTTTTTGTTGGCTTGTTTACTGATGTTATAGTTTAGCCTGAAGATATTCTCCAATCTCTGAATTTCATATTCCTAAACATTATAAACAAATTTCTATTGGGTTGTAAAATATTTATATGTGGTTAGCCATCAATCACAAACACAGATCGCAGATCTTACCTTTAGCATCCTATTTGCTCTAAACGCTGGGTTAAATCCAAAGAAGAAGTATAAAACTTCAAACGGCAATACTGATACCACATCAAGCTGTTGAAGAGCAGAGAGGCCCATTTAAACTTCACAAAAATTACAATGCATTTACGTGCTGTCAAAAACTTACTTAGATTGAATCGTGATTGAGTATAATTGAACAGTCAGCATGCTAAGCCAGTAACTTCCCAAGTACTGTCAGGCAAGATTACCTCTTGGAAAACATCACCAAATTTGTTCTGCCCTGCTTTTAAGTCCCCAATGCCCGACATTTTAATCTGTTTCATGGGGACTGTTGAAAGTATCTCTGATATTTGATTACTAATGCATTCTGTTATTTCAGTTATAGTCCTGACCAGACGAAAATGGCAGGCATGTGGCTGGCGAGCGAAGGTGAGAACACTCCACACACTCTTCTTAGAAGTTCTACATATTTCAACACAGGGTTGCCTAAAGCAGTGCAGGGGAACTGGATGAACTGGACTTCTTGTTTGCAACCTGAAGAAGCCATGTGCTCCAAAAAGCAGATTTAGCATAGGATGGTAAGTTTGCTTGTTGCTTTTTTTTTTTTTTAGTATTGTCTTTCGCTGTATTTGGATGTTTCTTCCCATATCACCGACATTTTCAATATCTCCCTGCAATCCATCAACACTGTGATTACTCTTCTTTACCTGCCTACTTTATTCTTTCCAAGAACTCTATGGAGAGAAGGAAAGCTTTGACAGACTTGGCTTTGCCTTTCGAAAGATCCTGTGATACTGTTGCTGATACTGTCTGGGAACAAAAGAGGGATGTGGAAGGGTAGGCTTCATCTCACTGTAATCAGATGTGCTTTTGCTCTGAGTGATGCCACCCATGTTGGTAGCAATTAGCCCGCAACACTGAAATTTTATTCCAAGTAAGATGAAGTTAATACTTGAACTCTGAATAAAAGCCAACCAAACCAAAATATTGAATGAGGACAGACTTTTATGGCCTCTGTCCCTCTCTCAGACACATGACTAAGAGAAGGCAGAATTTAGTCAAAGTGTTTCAGGATTGGTAACTGTTAATTAGTACTTAATCATATGACAAATTCCCAGATTATATCTATCTTGCATGTGGTGAGAACACTCAACACTCATTAGTTTCTGCATAAATCAAGAGCACTAGACACACTGCAAGTGTGAACTTAAACCCATGTATATCTGTTTAGTTCTCTTGCTGTAAGTTTGACTCTGTACTATTCACTTACCTGTATATATCCTGCACTTTTGAAAGGCTGAACCTCAAGTACAAAAGTAATGATACCACAGTCACTGAGACAAAAATAAGGCAGATACAAAAGTATTTACAGAAGAGGAGGGGGAAATAGCTGAGATTTCAGAGATGTGGTCTCAGAATCACAGAGCAGTATGTGTACAATGGACTACCTATCCTTTGTTGGCAAAAAAAAATATTTAGGAAAAAGTTAACAATTTTCTTAAATCAAATTAATCTTTGTTTTTACAAAGTGCAATAAGCATCCAAAATATTAGTTTCAATTTTTGTTTACTTGTGTGAGTAATATCCTATTCAGTACCATGGTGTACTTCATGAGAATTCACTAGATAGAGTTATCATCTAACTTCAAGACTTTTTATTCTGTTTAATGAATCTCTGGCATACTGTGCAATTGTCTTTCAGTGTGTAAGGGGACTACCTTGCAAATAGTCATCAAAACAGAGAATTTTATTAATTCTACCATATTGATTTATTATTAATCAGAATTAATATTTATAATTGAATTTATAATTAGTCTTGTTTACAACTAAACACTTAATGACAGAGTCACAGAATCATTAGAGTTGGAAGGGATCTCTGGAGATCATTTAGTCCAAGCCCCCTGACAAGGCAGGGCCAGCTAAAGCAGGTTATAGAGAAACACATCCAGGCAGATTTTGAACATCTCTAGAGGGACAGACTCCACAACCTCCCTGGGCAGCCTGTTCCAGTGCTTTGCCACCCTTTGTGAAGATAGCAGTCTTGAGCTGTTGAACACAGACATGCCATCAAGCCAGTGCTTTCTGGTGATGTTTTTAAACCAGTGGTGACTTTCAGTGAATGAAAAAAGTCCTGTGAGGTTCTCAGCCAGAACTTATGTATTTACATCAATAACACAGGGTCTGCTTACCCGGAATTTAATAGAGCTGTGGTAGAATTTCTTCATTTCCACCTTGTCTGACTACAATGATAATGAAAAGACAAAAAAGCATAGTCAAGAACAGAATGTCAAGAATGAGCCTCTGGTACCTGACAGTAAAAATAATTCTCTTCTGACAGTAGAGATGATGACAGCTGTATTATTGATGCCCTAAAAGTATGAATGAACAGCTATCTGTAGGAAGAAGTAGTAGCTTTAATTACACTAGATTTTATTAGACCTACTTGAAAAAAATTAGGTTTAGGGCTTGTCTGATTCTAGCCAAGCTTGGCTGTTGGTCTGGAAAAGTATGTTACATTTTTCCCATAAAACTACCCTCTCATGTCATCTGTACCAGCTGTTGCTTGAGGCAAATCCTTTCAATTCCAGGGCCAAAACCTCCATCTGACTTCAGTTATTCCAAGAAAAATGCAAAGAATGTTTCTGATGGTGCTGTACAAAAGTAGCTCTTTGAAAGCAAGCATTAACATGCTAGCATTATTAACATCATAATAATCAACACTGCATTCATTAGTAATTATTAGATATTTATTTTTAAATTGCTCTCCATGGGAACTGATGCTTATACCTTTATAAGAAAGGGTAATCACAAGCATCCGAAGAAATGTATCTGTTATGCTTTCTATTTATACCAGGGACACTTTAAAATGGCTTTAAAATCTTAAGGATATTGCCAAGCCAACTTTTCACTAGTTTCAGTTTAAGCATTAAAGTAAATGCAGGAGATCAGGCAGTAGATGATCTCTTCATGCACTAAAACCTATGAATTGTACAAACAACTTCAAGGGAAATACAAGGTAAGCTTCTTACATTAGAGTTTTAACCTTGTTCATAAAACCCGAGTTTTGTAGGATTTAGGAAAGATTGCCAGTTACTGAATGTCTTGGCATGGAAAAATATATTACACTGCACTGCATTTAATATATATCCAAACTATATTTGCACAGTTTTATCTGAAATTCTCTGTAAATATATCACTAATATCTTGTATGCCAATGTGTAAAATTTTACGTAAAAGCACTGAATTAAAGCTAGCTCCAAATTACATTTTAGTATATATAATTTTGAATTTTCTATCTATTGAGCACAGTACTGTTACACTAAAGTCATCAAAGCTCATTTTTTCCACACTAGATATTCTTCTATAAGTTAAAGAATCAAAAGTAGAAAAAAAGTTCCAGATGTCCTTTTGATATGTTAATGCTTTTTACCGTTTTTCAGATACTTAGTTTTATTTTGCATTTTTCAATAGAAAAAATAGCACAAAAATAGTAGCAAAAATCAAAATTGAATGCACATATTTTCCCAAAATACAGTATTTCATATAAGTAATTTTCTAAGCATCCTGAGATTATTACAGGGATTTGCTCTGATTTTGTCATCCCTCTCCTTTCCCCCCCGGCCAGTCTCACAATCTACAACAAAACACATATATCCTGTCCAGCCCTAGCAGAATATGTACAATCTTCAACTATGATTCTTGCACTGATTCCAGTGAAGCTGCAACAGTTTACTCCTGGTGAGAACAGCTTTACGCCTGTTCCAACTGCTCTGATCTGTTACTTTCAAATCTGTTTTAACTTTTTAAGAATGCAAACAATGAATATTTCTCCTCTTTCCAAAATGGGATTATGGAAGGTCAGTGAAGAATATTATGGGTATGGAAATGTTGTGTAGATTTGACATGGCAAGAAAAATGTGTCAGATTAGAGGAAATCCTTATATACATTATTTTCTGATGCAAAACTTGTACTCATGGAAATACCACTTCCAGTACTTACTATTATATCTCCTCCTCTTATAAATTGCACTCGAGGCTGGAAAATTAGTAAGTCACACAGGTAGCAGATATCACAAAGGATGTCCATGGTAAACCAATATATTGTATTACTTGGGGTTTGATATGGGAACACAAAACGAAGGGGAATAAACCAGCAATTCCAATTATAGGCAACTGTCACAAGCATAAGCCATGCTACATAACGATGATCTGAAAGAAAAAAAAACACCCACATTGAATTTACAGACATGAAGTTAGAATCTTTTTCCAGTCTTTTAGACATATTTATTCTACTACAGCTTCTGGGAATGCCTAGGGCAACCTACCATTCTCCTTTTTTCAACAGCACACACTGTTAAAGTGACATAGGCTGGAGCTAGGAGTCACACAAAGAATTTGCAAAATGGAAAAAAGGTGAGTTTATGAGAACATAGAATTTAATGCATCTGAAAAAACTCAATACATTTTGCATGTTATTGGTGTATGTTATAACTGGTAAAACAGTTATTTGGCCCTGATGAATGGGACAAGTTCTTGACCACGAATCAGAAGACTTGGAGTTTAATTGTTGTTGGTTCATATACCAGTTTTGTGCATACCTTCTTTACAGCTGTTGTCACTTCTCATATCTTCTGCTTGTTTGAAATAAATTTTCTCTAGGGCAGGAGTTATGCGGCCCTCAAAGTTGCAAACTGATCTTATGGTGGCTCACAGGTACTATGTAACACTAGGTCATTTCAATATACCTTTAACCCATTCTATTGCATAACTTTTAATTTACCTGTGTATGAGTCTATGCTGTCTGGTAGCTTCAGATACTCTAAGTATTTTTTCAGTGGAGGTGTTTTGAATTTACAGCATAGCATATCGCAGTAGTGATCCTCCTCTGGTTTTGCTTCTGCTTCCTCTTTCTTTTCTTCTTTTTTCTCTTCTTTTGGTGGGGGTGGAGGCTTCTTCTTTGGTGCTAGCCACATAGAATGCCACAAAGGGTGCCATTTTAGTTACTACACTGTTTCAACAGGGTACAGATAAAATCTCTTCTAAAAACACTTGGCAGTGACTAAAGCTACAATTCATTGTAATACTGGATGCTTTAGAAAATAGATTGGAGAATAAAACCATGACATATTGGAGAATAAAATCTGCTACCAAGAACAGGACACTTTATGTAAGAGTGCAATATTACTGTGTCTCCTTGGATAGTGCCCACAACTAATGCCATAAAAGACTCACAAGAAATAAGGTAATTCATAATTCAGCATTCATTAATGCAACTTGTCATTCCTTTTTACATGACTGGTGCAAATAATGCATGCAGTTAGGAAGGGATAAGAAAAGACATTTGTGCCATGTGTTCACGTCTCCCGTTTCCTGAGAGCTGATACACAAGATGCAGTGTGTGAAACTAGCGGGAAGCCAATGGTTTTGTATGTTTCTAGGCTTACAAAAATCTTGTGGCACTCCTTTGAGCCTAGTTCTTCCATCTTTGGGCTAGATAATTCTGTTCATGCATTTGTCCCATTAATTCTCATAGCTTCACCTCTGAATAAGATACAGAGTCTTAGCAGTAAACTGGCAAACTGGATCTTTAATGATTTATGAAATATAGGATTTTAAGTTCTACAAAGAGAACAAAAGAGGTAAATGAGCAAAAAAATAATTAAAGAAAAAAGTCATTCCTTTATCAGCAGCTGTAGTTTATAATACTCCAGGCACTATTTTTTACAGCTTATTAAATAAAAGTAAGCTTCTAAGATGTCAGAATATAAACCCACACTTAATTATTTTTAAAATGAAAAAAAAATCAAACTTTTCTCTGAAGAGGAAACACATTGTATTTATTTTGTGTTTCCTTTTTGTCAAAAGTTAATTATTAATTAAATGACTTTGCTCAATTTGAAGCATGTACATAGAGTCCTCAGTGTGTCTGAAAGACTGCTGCCATGGCTAAAATTTTATTTACTTTTACCCAGCTGATCTAATCTTAAGAGTGACAAATATCTACTCGTATATGTATATGTCTTCATATGCTTCAGTTTCATCTCCATAAATAAACATATCTGTCAGCATTTTAAAACACAGAAAACTTCTTGTCAAGGATGATTCTATATATTGCTCAAGGCTTTTTCCCCTGATTTCCTCAGTGATAGGGTTCAAATGGAGCTCATACCTAAGGACCTGGCTTACTGTTGACTGATATGGATAAATCTGCTTCAGACAATGGGCATAAACTGATCCACCCCAGTGGATAAACACACTACACTTATTTGAAAATTTTACCACAGGATTTTTGTTCCCACAAAATAATTTTCAACTTTAAACTCAACAAGCACACAGTTATTTTTAGAGTGACTTACAAGCTGTAGGACTGCCTTCAGGGGAGGACAGCACGGGGTCTTTCAGCTTTTCCTTATAGACTGTTGCCCTTTCCCTCATTTTTCGGACAAGCTCTTGAAGTTGGGCATCAGCATAGTCATTCATTTTGAAACCTGAAGGTGTTGGGTTCTGTGTACTGATTAAAAGAAAAGGAAAAAAAAAGCTTAATGTTCTGGAAATCAATGCAAGGAAACAGTGCCAATTCTACTTCTGGGCAGAAGTCAGACATTAAGATTGGATCATTATTGGCTATAGAGCTGATTCACATCACTTAGTTCACAGTAAGTGGGCACCTAATTTAACTGCTTTTGCTTCCTTGCTTATGCCAGTAGCAGTCTACATATTTCAAGCAGAGGTCATGGTACCCTGTGCTTTGAATCTCCCACTGCAATAATGACTTCCCACAGCTGCTTTTCACAAAGTTCTACTGTAGCTATGTAAGGCCTAGAGCTTATCGTATGCATTTGCTAAGACACAAGGAGTACTCTTACCATCTGTGCATGAAAATGTGCTTGTTATTTGATGGTAATATCCTAATGATGATGGGACATAACTGAGTTAAAGACTAATGTGCAGGTGGGAGGAAAGACTATATTTACTTTATGCTTTCTAATACCTGGAACATTGATTTCATCTAGGTTTTGTTGCAGGTATTAGCTGATATAAGGTTAAAAGTGATCTGTTTTTCCAAGTGAAAACAAAACACTGGTGTTCCTGCTGAAGTTTCCACGTCATAGTAACACTGAGCTGTTATTCTAACACTCACAACATTTCTTCAAACCTGAGGACCACTGATTTTCAAACACTTGCAAACTCACATTCTGCAATGAAACTAATGCTTTTAAAATGATCTATGCATGCTGCACAGGCAATTAGAAAATCTAAGTGAAAGTGATTTTTGATCAACTCTTTTTGTCTTATTCATACTTGAAATTTCATCCTCAATTACTTGCTACTGTCTGGATTATGCAAACTGGAGCTGTTTTCCAGTGCCACCCATCTGGCAGCTGGGCCACACATTTGGTCTTCCTCTATGTCGGGACCAGGATATGGGATTTCTTCTGTATCCTAGACACAGCACTATTCAGCTAATGCTACACACTCATGTCAGAGCTGGCTGTGACTGTCACCCCTGTACTGAAACCCTGTCAGCTATGCCCAGTACTAGAACTACATCAGAGAATTTTTCTTTCTCAGTGTTTTCATGCTGTCTCAAAACCATGTGCTGTGAATATTACAGCAAAAGAAGAGCCTGACCAACAGTGAAACTTGCCTGAAATCTCCAGATTCTTAAAACTATCTTCCCAAAAGTGAGTTAGAGAGAAAGTAGTATGACATGGAAGGGTGGGTGGGTTGGGTAGTGGTATTGTGTAGGGAAAAAATGAAAAGCACCACAGAGTGATCTTTGAATATGCACCATTTCAAGACCTAAACCTACTATGAAGCTCCTAACAGAAAGAGCTGTAAGTCAAATAGGAGAGTGTTAGAGTGGAATGTGTCTAGCTTTTTAGAAGTACAGCTTTCCAGAGACACAACACACATCATGGTGCCCAAAGAAGTATAATTTAAGGATATGAAAATTCTTCAGCAGTAAAGCTAGTGGATAAAATGGAGATAAGCTGTTAAAGCAGAAGTAGCAGAAGCCTGGAACTTTGTGCTTATCATTCTTCTAATTTAAGTCTTCTGTAGTATCTATTTCTTAAAACCCCCCAGACAGGAGGTTAATCAAACAATTCTGATACACTTTGTAATTTCGTCATGTTTCTTTTAGCGTCACATTTTCCCTTTGCTCAGGCCATCTACAGTGTAATGAAATACTTTTTTGAGCTAACACTTCACAATTAGTTTTTCAAGTTCTATACAAGGAATTTAAAATCATTCTTACTCTTTTCTGCTGCTATATTTGCTCAGAGCATTGGTTATCTTTTGGTAAAATACACTTATCACAGTTGTCATGCCAAAGGCCCTTTCTATCTGCTTTCTAGGGATAACGTCATGCCAAAGGCCCTTTCTATCTGCTTTCTAGGGATAACCTATAAGTTGCACATGATTTTCTTGTTATTTCACAGCCTTTCCAATAAAAGTTAGTCTCCTCTATCATTAATTTTGTGCTTTATCCTTTATCATTGCAATGTATCCCAAAGCAATCATCTTATTGTTTGGCAGTGATTAGAAACTGCGAATTCGTTTAAAGTTATATGCCCCACAGTTGATGAAAAATTGATCTTCCTTGCCCTACTTCTCATTTGGTTTGCATTATCTCCTCCTCTATTATTTTGTAGTAACAAAATGTTTACTTTAAATGTACTTTAGAGAATGCATGTTGAACACTGCTGATTTGAAGATGTGTATTGTACATGTGCTTTGTGTGGAGGTGCACTTAAAATCGTTTCGGCTAGCAAAGCCGATTCAGAATTGACTAAATCAGTTTTAATAAACTGGGCTCCATCTCTCACATTAGGTGGTGCTAGGATTTGTCTCTAAGCTGACACGTTATTCTTTAATCAAGTTTATCTCTGACTTTTGTGTAATAAGTTACAATAAGCCTAGGTCTGTATTACTTACTGCATCATATACTCCTTTACAGAGTGGAAATATTTATTCCCTGCTGAAGTATCTACTTCACATGTTCTAAAAAGTCAGGACCACAGCTCACGTACTGTGCACACAGTTTTGTTACTACTCTAAACATGTTTTGTGTAACAATAACAACATATGTAACAATAGAAGTATAAAAACAATGTAGTTTTCTTATGTTTTGCTTTTGTAGGTTTTATTTTTCTAACTGGCAAGCTTAAACTTGTTTGTTTAGTGAACAAAATTACAGTGGCTTAATTCTCCCCATGCCAAGAAAAAAGTTAGACACCTAACTCTTAGACATAGCATTGTGGAAGAAAATAGCCTTGAAAGGACACGCCATGGAAATATTGTCCTGAGCATGCTAATGTATGTAACACCGTCAAGTTACTATGGCTTGAAAGTTTTCTGTGTTAAGAGTTCAAACAAAACAAGGATCAGGAAATTCAATTTGCTATATCAGAATAAATCAAGTTTACCGTTTTGTACATTGCAATCTAAAGTTTAATTCTTTCTTGGTTTTGGCCATGAGCACCAAATACCTGAGTGCAGTTCCATCTTTTATATACCAGGTGACCCCTGAGAAAATGTATTTCATAAAAGTATACTGCTGCCTGAAAAAAAAAATCCATACCACTTTTTGCTGATTTCAGTTATAATCCTTCTTTTCACAGCACTTAAGAAACTTTATCTACCTGGAAATAAAATTCTTGGTCTTGCAACAGAACTTCTAATTCTTTTGTTGAGCACTGTTATTATGATTTATGATTGTATTTACAACTGTGTCTTGAAAAATTAACAATTTACTGCCTTGAATAAATTCTGGAGAATCTCTGATCAAAATAATTTTCAAAATGATATGACAATACATACTTATACATATGTACAATGCATTGTTATACAAATGCACACAAGATGTGACAGTATAGCTGAGAAAGTTTTCAGTGAGATAGTAAAATGTTCTAGGCATCATGAAAAGCATTGATTCAAAAACGTATCTTCAGTTTGTGCTGACAATCCCAGTGTGGGTAATGTTATAGAAATCAGAAAACTCTATTTATCCCCAGTTACAAATCTGAGTTCACACAGCCTAAATAACTAGGAAACTTAATGTTTCTCTGTGACAGAAAAAGAGATGTTAGTCATCTGCTTAGTATAGGAATAAGGATATTCCAAAAGCTAACTTTAGCTATTCTTATTATGCTCCCTTGATAGTCAATAGAAGGCATCTTCTCTGAGGAGACGTTCAGAATAAGATAGGTTCTTACTCTGAATTGCCTGTGAAAGAAACCTATCTTTCTCCTTTATCTGCACAGAAAGCTGATAGTTTTAGGAGGGAGCATTAATATTTTCTTTCATGACATTGCTACAAAATATAGTAGTGCGCTAATGACATTTGATAAGACATTGGATTTGGAAGATTAAAATGTAGGACTGATTCCTATACATGAAAAACTGAATTATTTATATTGATTAATAAAAATGAGAACAAATCTAACACTACAATTATGTATCAGACATGCATTTAGAAATAAACTGAAAGTATTTCTTTTTCAAATAGGTAAATAGGTGGAATCATCAATTGCAGATGACAAAAGGCTAAATATCCAAGTATTTTAGTCAACAACATACTATAAGCTGGCTATGAAGAATCACTGGTGCAAATGTAACCCTAGAATGCATCTGACATTGCCAGTGAAGGAAGCATTAGTATATTAGCCAATAATGACAGTTATTCTGACCAGCTAGCTCACTGTATAGAGTCTCAGAATTATCTAGATTACTTGGAACATGGGTTTATAAAGGACAGGAAAACACCTTGATATCCACTAGGACCATTGCCTAGAAATTTTGGTGGAGAGTCATGTAGGGAAAAGAGGTATTTGAGCTGAGGAACAGTATTGTAATGAGTATGAATAGAACATCACAAATCAGTATGAGTTAAAGGTCTGAAAAAAACTTCTGAGCCTTTAAATGCGGGGATAGACTTCAAGATTATGATAGCTAAAATAATGAAAACTGTTTTAGGCATTGGTTCCCAAGAATGCAAAAGAATATATACAGCATGACAGGAAATCCTTTTCAGCTAACAAACTTGAAAAACTATCAAGGTTTGTAACTTAAATGACTGATTTGTATAGGTTATGCTCATTTGGTCCCTAAGCAAGTGTTTTTGAAGCAAAACACAGAGATGTTCCATTTCTCAGATCTCATGTTGTATTCATACTTCAAAATGGATATAGAAGCAACAATGTTCAAGGAAGGCACTGCATACTGGCACTGGACTCAGTTTCTTTGACAACCCTCCTAGTTATTCAGTCACAATAGGCTGTGAATCCTCTAATCTTTACACTATTTTCTAAGGAGAAGTCTGGCTTAACGCTGAACACATGGGACTCTCACTGAGGTACCAGATTAAAATGTGAACAAAATTTTGTTTTTTTAGTAATTTTGCAGAACAAACTATGCAAAAGAAAGTAGTATGAATGTTGAAAAGATCAATTAACTTTGAAAAATCATATTTTTTTAATGTCACTGGTGATATAAAGTTGCTTAATT